ATTATATCAGTTAGCACTTGAATCCACAATATAATCATTGTTTTTACACTAGTATTCTTGCTATTAGGAACAGCCCACAAAAGTTAAGTACAATAATAATTCACAAAATATCAACACATTTACCTTTTCAATTTAACATAAATTGTGTGTTTTTTACAGGTTTATTGGCTCTATACAATCTAATTAGGACACTTTTCCTAAATAAGTGTAACCTATTGTATTATTATCAAAACTAAAGTCGTGTACCAGATGAATCGGTCAATAGGAAGGTGATAATTTGTTTTCCACAGACTTCGTTCTGACAAAAGTTATTGGCCCGTCGTAGTCCAATAGAAACAAAAACGTATTTCAGCGTGATTACTTTTCTTCGAACTTTATTTTGGGCAGGCATTAATATCCCTTAGTCGGCTCTTACGACACCCACGGGATGGATAGGGGTAGCGACACTCCGTATTCTTAATCCGTCACCACACGAGCCGACTAAGGGAGAAAACTACGCAGGACAACAGCACTGCAAAAAGAAGGAAAACTTGACACAAACCCTATACCAACCCGTCTGGCCAGCGTGGCATAGTAGGCCACAACCTCCTTTCTAAGGAGAGGCCTATGTCCAGCAGTGGACTATTAAAGGCTTTTGATGTGATGATGATGATGTGATGATTAATATCCATACAGTCTAATCAACTTGAAGGCATACCAAAAGTAATTCTAACGCGCCTTTGTTTTGTTCTGATTGACGTCAAATGTTTGACAACCAGGGACAGGTGTTTTAATTTACTCTGTGGTTAGTATATGAAAAGAAAAGTGTTGTTTTTTTCTATGTTCCTCGCAATTTTTACGTTTTTTCTCTCCAGAAGAACCTTCCTTGTACTCTAGGTACTTATTAAAAAACTAATATATTTATAACCAGCGGGAGACTAACTGAATGGATTGCTCGCATAGCGAGGCGTGAGGAAGGGCAAATGTAGGTTGGTACGAGTACGATGGCGAATACTCCACGCTTTAAGTCGCTTGAAGTTTATTATGTAACTTGTTTTGCTATAGTTCGACTATTTGAATCCAATTTTTTTTAAAATATAATATACATGATAGGTATAAATCTGGCATTTTCGTTATTATTTTTATTTTATTTATTAATTTGGGGAAACTGGTAGAACCTAATACATTAGAAATTATAAGATACCTAATGACAATAATGTGTAAAACTAAAAATGTCGATAACAACGAAAATAAAACCAAAATTCGAAAGAAACAGATCAGAAAAAACTAATAACTACGTTCGTACTACCTTTAACGGTATGGATGTTGGACTAGCAGTTTGACAACTATTATTGAAGAGTTAGAATTAGGGTGCTGGGTTGGTCCAACAGTAACCACACTCACTCGGTGAAACGCAAGGCATAAATAGCTTAACACCGGTTTTCTGCGAGGCCGTATCACTCCGGTCAAGCCATCACATAAGTGCCAAGGCGTGGCTCTTCCAAGGATTACTTTCCGGCAATAAGAACGCTCTCATTGCCGGAAAGAAACCGTGGAAAAGAGTTGTCTTTAGGAAGGAGTCCACACTCCTTTCTATAGAACGGCAACGCATTTCTGACTCCTGAGTGTGTGTTGTGTCCTCCATGTTCATGGGCGGCGATGATCACTTTCCATCAGGTGACCCGTCTGCTCGTCTGCCCCCTCTATCATAAAAAATAATAATCATAATCAATTATAGTTACAGGTATGCTGACATACTTATATTTCCAGTCTATCGAATTAAGCAATACTCTTTTTTCCATCATTGTCTTTCTCACTATTTCTCATCTACCTTACCTTTCAATTTACTAGACTATTTACTATTTTTCTCATCAAACCCCTAAAGTGCCAGGTTGAGGGGATTACGCTTGCCACCAATGAGGTAAGTGGGACTAAAAATTTAATTTTCAAAATGTGGTTTTAATATGAATCTGGGGAAACAGGCGAGGGCATTAATGTGTGTATCAAAAACATGTTTTAGGACCGGTTTATCCTTAATTACAGTTAGTTTGGGATCACAACAAACATTCTATGTAAAATCCCTCTGTTTCTGACATTAACCTGTCCCAAAAGAGGCACAGGCACGTCCTGAACGGTTATGAAATCACTACATGTTCCCTAGCACTCTCTTGAGAAACAAAAATAAAATATTTAAGAGCTTGAGATATAACCGGGGTAGTAAGCTGAAAAATTAGTTATAATCACCTAATTACCTATTGAAACTAACTATAAACATTATCTAGAGAAGTATCTTTCGTGACGACAACTCTTATCGAAACCCCTTGAATTGGAATCATATATAATTTTAATAAACCGCTTATTTATTTCGATGTGCTCTTCAAAATAGCAGCGAGTGATAATTTAAGTACCTACTTAATGGTTTAAGATTATTCAAAACTGGGTTATGATAAGCATGAGGGATTTGACATTGAAACAGTTGAGATGTTTGCAAATATTAATGGACTATTGATTGTGCTTCTTTATTAGCTCTTATCATCTTAATACTAGCTTTAGTTAACTCTGTTTCTTTTTATTAAAATCGGTTCATATGGTTAGGAGCTAAGATGCTAGATACAGACAGAAACACGCAGATGTACACATGACTACACAAGGACATATTACAACACTTCTAGGTTATCGGAAAGTGCCTTTTAGGTTAAACCTGCGAAGTTTCATAATTGGTTAAAATATAGGGCCTGAATTTTCTGATTGCATTGACTGGAACTTGGTTTACTTAAAGAGAGAGTTTTGTTGCCGAGGACTGTAGGCTAGGTTAGTATTTAATGTTAATTTGAACTTCATACCTCTAACAATTCCTGAGAAAAAGGGCCTATTCTCTTTTGAAGCACCGAGCCCTAAAAATTACGCGAAGACGCATAAACCAAGTAATTGATATCAACAGCATGGTTTATAAAACAATTTCGCATTAATAATAATATGAATTTGTTAATAACACAATATGGTATGTATGTTGGTTCGCTTATAAAACCTGTGCAAATATATGTACAGTACATGTGCTGCATGTTTTGTTTTTTCTTAGTATCTATATAGTACTGTCTGTACTATATAGTTATCATTTATATCATTCCACATCACACACTTAGACACATTTAGACCTTAACCAAGGTGAAACTGGGTCTCGGAATTGAATCCCGCCTGTCACCACCGCAATTTCAGTGAGGACTCGGTTAAGCACACGACGTCAATTTGCCCGGCTTGTCATAGCGGAGTCCGGTCGTCATTGCAGTCATCGGAGAAGATCTCTCGCTATCAGCCGTCATTCACTCCGTGGCCGGTAGCGACATTTGTTTTAACTCAATCACATCCTTCTGCGAAGATGTCATCTCGCAGAAGGAAGCAGCGGAGAGGGCATGAGAGAACGATATCCATTCAGACCCAATTCACCGACCCAATGTCTTGATTACAGCTATGCCCGGATCCCTCCTATTTCAGGCGAAGTGTGGCACAACGTGTGGTTTTAGTCGCTTCGATTTCGACACACAGCCCCTTTCGCAAACCGCCGTGGGTTGACGGTTCGAGAGGGTTTCCGAGAGTTCAGTCTAAATGTCAAGGAAAAATCTTGACACTTAGAATGAACTTTGGGCGGTAATTTATCGCATAGAATTTAAAAATAAGTTGAGATCGATTTAAGTACAAGCATTTAAGACAACTTTGTAGTTGGCTAATTTTTCCAAAGGCTCAAAATTGTATCTGCGCATAGAACTCTACAAAGTATACTAATTTTGAATTGTGGATATTTCTAAATATAGAGGGAAAACATCAATAAACATAAATTTTATATTTATCATAACAAAAAAAAAGTTAAATAGGCCTCGGTACCTCTGATGTACCCAAGGTGGCAGTAGAGGTTATCTTTTTTTAGGATTCTGTTCAGCAAGTGGAAAAAGAAAGCCTTACCGGAATAATTGGGAATCTGTCTATCTTTTTTTATAATACAGGTTCTGTACGAATAGACGAATCACTAGATGAATTGACTACCAACGCCCATGGACCCCTGCAACTCAAGTACCTAAACAAATCTCTTAAAAGACGTTAATTAGTTATTCTATAACAAAAAAAAGAACTAATAAAAGCAAGTTCAACAACATCAATCTGACAACAACAAAAATGAAAACTAAAAACAATTTGTAGAAAGAAAAAAGGAGTAGAGTCCACGAAACCAATATTGTCTTAATCGAGTTAAAAGGTATACATCTTGTGAAGGCATGTGTCGATATTCTATGAACAAAAATTACTTCTAAAGTAATGAGTAAAGTACTTTCAAACATTATGAGACTTTTTACGGAAATAGTGAATGTGAGAGTGTGTAGACTGTCATGTAATCGTAATAGGTTTGTTTCGTTAAATCCTTTTTAGATAAATGAACTATTTTTATATTTCACTTTGGTAGTATAAACATCTTACGAATCTTAATTTAGGATTGGCCGCAGGCCTGTTATATTATGTCAAGTGTAACTAAAGTTAAAAAATATCCTTTTAACAACCAATTCAAAAAACTAAAATTTATCGGATAACATATTTAGATATAAATATAAATCATTTATTTTTTCCCTCTGCTACTAAGTAATACCTATTTATTAAATCTAGAATTTATATTTTCTATGAGATACTCATTCTTGTATTGTCCAAACAGTAAAGTCTGTGATACGTGCAGTATTTTTAAATAAAAATATACAGTCTAACCAAGTTAGCATGACTGGTAAAAATTTTGGTAAACAAACTTTACATTTAATATCTTCATGAGTCGTTTTTTCAGAAATTATACTTTTGGAACATGACTTAAATACTATGTACAAACTATGTACAAGGCAAGACAAGAAGTGTGTTGGATATAGGGTATAGCGTCGGAATAGGGTTGTAGTAGTATTCGGAGGGGTAAGTTGGCACTACACTACTGCCATAGACAGTGTGTACTTTCTGGATGGCTACTGATTACTATTTTCTGTCAGATAAATCTAAATATGCCCGGCCCTGAAGCGAACCTCACAATCTCACGCAGACATCTTGCAATAGTTAGGTATACCATGGCACTTAAGTTTCTGTTAATTTTTCTTATGTTCATACCGTGTTCTACACAAAAATGAAAGTTAAATATTTAATAACTCCTGATAAAAGTAAATAATAAAATTATATAGTAACTAATATTAATATTACATTATTTATTATACAATTTATTTTTGTCAATTCTGAAACTTACCTAAGGTTAAAACATTGAATTACGATGTATAAAGATTTTGCCGGACACATATGATTAACCGAACAGATTTACAGCCATAAAAATCAAACTCACCACAGTTGTAAATTGAAAAACCTAATCACAAAAAGTTGATAATCCACACCTGGTAGATGTTTTTCAGAATTCGCAAAATAACTGAACTATGCTTTGTTTTTTAAATGAAATAAAATTATTTTAATAATATATTTCCTTGTAGATATATGTGTCAGCGGCAGTTTGTTTATGAAAAATTGCTGAGATATACGCGTGCGCCTTCGAGTCTTTGCACAAGCGCGACCGCAAGTAGAAAAGTTTGCGCGACACTGGCGCAACCCTATGCATGTCCCCTCTCAAACACCATTCATACGTCATTCATCATTCATTGCGTTACGACGTTCCACAATACCAAGGTATCAATAACATATCCACAATCTTAAGCGGTGAAAGGCAAACACACTCTAAAAATCATCATAAAACGTTTTGTAATAGACTGTGTCTTCTAATTTAAAACCCGTCTGAATTTATTGAACTTGAAACTATTACAGCAATTTGCTTATTTTGTTGCGCTTTTTATTACAACTGTTTTCATTGAAACGTGGGATAAAAGAACTGAACTTAACAATTATCTTCTTCTGAAGGAGTTCGTTGGGAATTTATTCAAAAGCTACCTCATCAACTGCACACAAAGTGTCATCATTAATGACGTTATTAGTGATGAAGTTGGGTTGGATTACAGCGTCCCTCAAGGCAGTGTCCTTGGGCCGACGCTATTCCTTGTTTATGTAAATGAGCTCTGCTTATTTAACATTAATATTGTAAGGTGGTTACCTACGCGGACGACACAGTACTCCTGATTTATGATGGCACTTGGGATGAAGTTTAAAAAACCGCTGAGAAGGCTTTGAGTACAGTAGACTTACTGGTTAGAGCAAAATCTCCTTATTCTCAACTTGGTTAAGTCCATGTATGTTACATTCTCTCTTAGGACAGCAACCCAACCACCAGAGTCTTTTTCTATTCGTGGCCATTCCTGCGGAGACATGCAATGCAAATTGTAACTGTAAGAACCCGTCTGGGCGTTATAATTGATAGCAGATTAACATGGAGTTTATAAGTTGATAGTATAATAACTCGTACAAGAAAACTTATGTACGTTTTTAAGAAGTTGAGAGCAGTAGCAGACCTAAATACCTTCAAAACTTTCTATTATGCGCTTGCACAGTCAGTCGTAACTTATTGCATTGCAGCTTGGGGTGGATACTGCAAAACTTATTTGTTGTGATTGGAGAGAGCTCAGAGATGTGTTCTAAAAATAATGCTAAATAAGCCTATAACATTTTCCACAACAGAACTTTACACACATTGCAGATTACTTTCAAGGAATTTGTACGTACGTACTTAGGAATTTGCACGTACTTAGGGTTATATTACGAAAGCATGCAACTGTACTATTTGACGCCGAATTCATTACAAAGGCACGAAGGTCAGATAGTCTGTAAACTTGAAACTGCAAGAAGTGCGGCAGCTGGCCAACAGTATTTCTACAATGTAGACTATGTAGTCTGGGATGGGATATGTAGTCTTTACAATGTAGTCTGGGACTAATGAGTCCCAGACTTTATAATAAAGTTAAAAGAGAGCTTAATATATATCCTTTAACATGAAAATAATGTTAAGTTAGGGTGACTGACTGGCTATATGCGTTGTCTTATGAGTATACTGAAAGTATCATAAAGATTGTATGCTGAAACACGTATAAAAGCACATACACTCACATTTATACACACACACACACACACACTAGTGACCTAGTCACAAATGTCCTATTATTATCATCCTTTTTTATAATTTATTTTTTTCTTAGAAGTTTTGCTACAGTCTTTCACTTTTTTTAGTTGTTCTAATATTCAATATTTCTCCTTTTTTTTGTTTTTACTTTGAAATGTACTGTAACAAACGAATATTGCAATGCAATGTTTACACATATTAATAGTTGCGGCACAGTTTCTACTACTACTACTACTGAAACTAGATGGCGTTGTGTGTCAGATGTCCGAAATATTATTTAAATTTATTTATTACCGTACTATTGTATTTTTGACGTTGTAATATAGTTAAACCGCCGTAAGCTTGGCCCTCCTGATGGTTTGCGGGACGCGGGGCGGGTGATGCGCTCGGCTATACATGACACGATGTACTAACTCGATATCTTCAAATTTATTTGTTTGAGATTTAATCTACACACGATGTAATAAAAATCGATTTTATTTCCATGTATTATAATGTCAGTGTATTGTAAGTTTTTATGATTAATTGTAAAATTTAATACTGTAAAATAATTTTAATAAAATCACCTTATCTTCATCATGTAAATTACATTCAGATACAATTTAAAAATTAAGTAAAATAATAAATATTCTTTATTAGAACTTTAACAGTAGAACCTCTGTAAGCCGAACTTCAAGTCTTTAAATCTTTTTGTGACGTAGAGTCGGCAGATTATCCATGTTGCAAAATAATACCGTGTGTAGCAGTCTTAAGAAAAATAACAGGAGGGCCAAGCTTACGGCGGTTTAACTATAGTATTAATTAATTAAATTATTAAATATATAGGGCTTACAAGAAGCATTTTTATGGCATAGTCCTTGTCAGTACACAGGTATTGGAATGGACCTCGACGGCTGCGAGTTAGCGTCCACTGGTAGATACATGGGAACAAATAAAGGCCGCGCGGAAATCCGTTCGTTCATGAAAAACCAAGGAGACATTATTCTGTTGGTGATGTGACAGTAAGTTAAAAAATGTGTATTACGCGAACACTTTCATTCTAATTACAATCCAAATTTAATTTCAGTTTCGGTTTTTATACTTTATACGAATTAAAACAATTAGCAAAGACGTGAGAGTCATTGGATATATAGGCACATCATAAAAATCGTATCCGTGGTGCAAGCCTTCAGTTCTAAAACTAAGTATTTAAATATCTTGAAGCAAAAAGCACTGTTAGGCTGGTATATGCGTCTAACCATGGGTTGCTTGGCTAGAAACCCTTGGAAAAGTTGGCGGTGGCGCTGCCTCTTCCTCCACTATTTGGAGAAGGGCATCATGGCCAACGGCCAATATTCTAGCACGAAGAAGAGGAGGCCATCTTTCTTTGGCTTTTCGCTCTTCGTAATCCCGAAAATAGTCTTGGTTATGTCTCGCGATTCCGATCGGGACGATGGTCTTGGGTTAGTCGCCCAGAATGCGAGGAAGAAAACTTCTATAAAAATAACCCCGAATCCCGTGTTCTGGTGTGTGGCCCGGCAGATGCATTACGGGAGCCCGGGTATTGGGGAATCGTGGACCCACTCGTGGGTCTAACTATGGAATCTTTAAATATTAAAAATAAAAAGCAAGAAAAGAAGGAGAGGAAGAACAGGCAGGAGAAGGGTGGAAAGGCCTTTTTGCCTGAGACGCCTATCGCAGAATTACTCCCAGAAATCAATCTGGCTTCTGGAAGCCTAAGAAGATCGGAACGTCTCGAGTTCCAGGTCAACCATTCCGTCGGACAGTAACTCCAGTGTGTCCATCGTCACACTGGAGCAGTTGGACACGGAGCTGATAGCCGGAAACGCGGACACTCCATTGACGAAGATGCTGACACGTCCCAGTAGATGCTACCTCCCAAAGTGGCTAGTAGCCGCAGGGTTAGGGCGTAGGGCAAAGACGTAGTGGGTGAGGAGATCGCCGATCTCCCGCTTAAAATTCAGGAGCCGACAGTAGGGGGTTCTGTCCTCCGAACCGGTGTCTATACAGGAGAGGGCGAACGTGGCTGTGGCCATCATCAACAAGGTGGCCACCAAATCTACGAATCTTAAGGGTCAATTTGTCAGGGCTCTTAAGGACTCCTCCTCGGCCATCTCTGGGGTCGTAGCCATCTTTGTTGCCGATGTGGCACAGCTCAAAGCGGCTAACGATTCGGTTGACGGGACAGGTGGCTGAGCTTAGCACACAGTTTGCCTTGTCAATTCGATCACCTCGAGCGACAGGGCCCAGCTCCACAGCAGCCTGGCCCCGCTCATAGTCCCGGGGACGTCTCTGAACTAAATACTTGACGCGGTGGGGCGTATGTTGGACGGGCGACTCGCAGGTCTGGAGGCAACGCTGCCTCCGTTGTTGCGGTTTTGGAGCGGTTTTCCGCAACAAAACTGCTGCAACGCCGACCCCTCTTCCTGTTGGGAGCGGTCGCATCACATATGCGGCGGCGGCGTCGGCATTCTGGCCACATCGAAGACAGGACGATAAGCCAAGGCAGCGGCAAAGAAGGCCACACCGAGAGTTGGGCGGGCGGAATTCCCTTCGCTTTCCACTCCCACGCCTGTACCTAGCCCTACAATATCAGTCCCCTCTACCTCTGCCCCCTTAACAATGGGTGGTAGGTACTCTCGAAGGCGGGGCAAAAAGGCTGCCAAAAAGCAGTACCCCACCGTTGCCGTCAGAGGTAGTGGCTATCCTATGCGGCCATATTTAAGAAGGCAAGATATAGTCTCGGCCATGATTTCGGGACGGTAGCTAGAGTCCTGGAGTTTCCCGGGGCTAAAGTCGCAAAGACGGAGAACACGTTTGCCGAGAAGCTGCGGGAAGTATTCGCAGCCACGGATGGTGTGAAGGTCGCCAGGCCCACCAAGTGTGCGGAGCTGCGCATCTCGGGCCTCGCCTTGTTGTCGATGGAAATAGATAAATAGCATTGTTTATAGAATTTTACCTTTACAAACGCAATCTGCTTTGAATGGGGAACATTCGTGCATTTACCCTACATGGATATTGATAAACTACGATATTAGTCGTTACTATTAACAGATCATTGCGACCCGATCATCCTTTTGCTCGCCACCTCGCGGTTAGCCTATGCGTATGGGTGAGACTCACATTAAAATCCAAGTATATCATAACGAGTCATCTAACTAACTAACGAGATCTAAATCACTTTTTTCTGCTATGAGATTCTGGTAGACGTATATTCACTACGTCCACAATGAACGAACATGACAGCTAGTACTGCTTTTTACCAACAATCACGAAAACAAAGATTATTAACAGATATACTTAGAACAACTTTCATAACTACCTCCTTCTTTTTTAACTACCTCCGATGCGCTCCAGAGCGCCTTTCTCTAAAGGACTCGAAGTCCGCCGGGGATTTCCTTTTTGCTTTGCTTCCGCGCTGGGCGCGGGGGTAAGGAGGAAGGACGCGCATCTTGACCCACACTGAGTGTGGCAAGATATCAAAGTGGCATTAGGCGCTCGATGGCGATCCTCCGCCATCTAGTTCGCCGACCGCCAAATGGGTCCAGGTGCAGTTCTTCCTTGTGGGCCTTCTCCCTCGACTCCTTCCACGCGATGACCTATTCCGAGAGCTCCTTGATTGTATTTTAGGCAACACATTAAAAAGTTGTACTTGCAGTTCATATGCGTGAAATTTAGAATTAATCACCTGATCATAATCTTAATGGTTAAAAAACGAAGGTTCGGCCAGTGGTTCAAAGGTTTTATGGAACAGGGGGCAAACGAGCAGACTGGTCACCTGATGGCAAGCGACTACCACTGCCCATAAACGCCTGCAACTCAGAAGAAAATGTGTAAAACTCGTTGTTTAGAACAACAGTTTCTAGTAAACTGTTGTACTTCAGACGAAACAATATAATAGCCTGTAGTAGTTAGGTAGGTATGGTATAAACAATGCTACTGTACACCGCGCGTTGTCTGACACGCATTTAACTGGATTTTATTGAAAGATGTGTATAAACAAGGGTAATGCTATATATTAATAGATGCAAATGTCCGTTTCGACTGCTCGGACAGTGTCCCTAGAAACCTCATTTTTTTTGTTTTCCATGAAAAAAAACCTTGTTTTTTTTAATATCGGTTTTTCGTACCTGTTCGATTTTTTTTCAAGTAATTCTTTTTTTAAACTGATACTTTTACCCGAATTATACCGTTGAATAAACAGCCAGGTATTTTTCTAATTTGAAGGTATTTTGCGCCGCACATCCTGTATCGAGGCTGAGGTGTACAGATTTTTTGTGTCATTTTTTTAAGGTAGGCAAAGTTGAAATTTTTATTTTTGATTCGCAGATATTCCCAGGTACTGAAATCTATTTCAGTCCTGTCTCGATATTGAAAGCATCCTGAATAAATCTAATGTTTATTCACATTCAAATGTATTTATAGATGCTTCAAAAAGTTCTCGAAAAATTGTTACTGATTCATTGGTTATGAAGAAGCCTATAACTTATTTATAACACTTATGTCAAAATCCGGGGGGGAAAATAAGACATTACATGAAATTCTTCAGACTTTTATTTATTATATTCATAGCAAGCAACTTCATAAAATGATGTTTTTATTATCACACTAATTTATAACAAACAGACAAATACAAAAGTCGTAAGTATAAAAATATTACAAAAGTCGTGTAGGTCCCCAGTCAAGTCTGGTTGTTGCGGTTGCCACTTGTCAGGACTGCAAAGGTAAAAAAACTTGACACAAACATTATACCAACCCGTTTCTAGAGTATAGTAGGCCAAAACCTTTTAAGGAGAGGCCTATGTCCAACAGTGGACTATTAAAGGATGATGATGATGACACCTATTCTTTCCTTGTATTCCTACGCTAACTTTCCAGCTACAGGGCGTGCTGGACGAGGAAATCTTCTCGCCCGGCGCATCAGGTGCTCCCGTGGTTGCGATACAGTCTAGGGGCAAGGCTTTTCACAATGAAGGCGTCCTTAAGATGTGGTGGAAAGACGAATATACGTGGCGCTACTACGATGGCTTTGCCAATCCCTGGCTAAGGTAGCGTCACCGCTTGAAGGTAACAAGCTGGTGGTCAGGAGGAAAGCAGAGGTTCCAAAAAGGATTAAGGGGGGCTCCTGGTGCCACAACTCGGGCCAGATGACACAGTGGTCCATATCCAAAAAGGCTTAGGTACCAGAACAGCCAGTAAACAGTGGCCAACTGGGCCCTCTACAATGCCGAACCAGAGAGTGAAGAAATAAGAAATACCTCTTCCTGGTACTCGGTATCCCAGAGGAGAACGTCCTCAAATTAAAGGAGAGCGAGCGTATAGTTTAATACAAACTAGGGAACCTCTACGTTCGCTTTCTTGACGAACATCCCGCTTCACCGACAAACTCTGTCAATGAGTCAGAAATGGCTCTGCACAACCCCAAGAACGGCAAAGGAGGTTATCCGCCAAAGCCCGTCGAGGAACCAGCTCCACAGGGTCAGGTCATAAGGAGTTGGAGGACCCATCTACCGGCGAGAGTGACCTTGACGATGCTTGGCGCTGGCAGTATCCTCCCGCACTAACGCCATCCAAATCAACCTCCAGCAAAGTGAGACAGCACGGCTACCCTACGCAGGGTGCTGGAGGTGAACACATTAGAGCGTTTTATCAAAAAGGCCCCAGGTTGACAACCTAACAAAAGCTCTAACCAATTGCTCTGAACAAACATGAGTATTTTCTACACCCAGAACTAGACCATAGAATAAACACTTGAGCTGAACAAATTACGCCATAGAAAATAAAATAAAGCTAAAAACTTTCAACTTGACCAACACTGACATGCCTATACGCAGGCCCGGCAACAATACAAGAAGCGAATTAGAATTAGACAAACTGAGTGCTGGAGAAGCTTCTGTACCAACATAGAGAACCACAACCAAGCCAACAGAGTCAAAAACGTATTGTGCATCAAGGGTGAACACAATTTTGACACACTGAAGAAACCTGATGGTATATATCCTAAAACAGACTCAAAAGCCTCTGAGCTGTTAATGACAACACACTTTCCGCATAATAGATGTAAAGAACATATTTGAAAACAGGTGAGAAAAAACATCAGGACATACTCTAGTATGTGTTTATTTTGTACTCACAACTTTTATTAGCTTTCGTTGTATAAAGTTACTTCGAGATTATGTATGTTACAGTCAGAACTAGGTATTTTTAACAGGCATTGATCAACAGTACAGGCGGACAAGAGTCTGCATCATTTGGGTAAGATAAGGTTATAACAGTATGATGTTGTGGTAGTACTTTTGACTTATTTTGCTGGCTAAAAATATTTTTGACCGGTTAAGAGTTCTGCCTGTAACACAGTGAAAAGCGTTCTAAAATTACTGTCACCCCTAAAACGCCACTTTTCATTCACAACGCCACCACTCTTTAAACCTTTAGCCTACAGTAAGTTAGAATTATAATTTATTTTAAGAGACTACAAAACTTAAGGCGGGGTATATGATAATCAACCATCCTTATCACTTGTAAAACACAAAGACCCAATGCAAGTAACAGTAATTACTCATACACAGCATAAATCGCAATCACAACAGTGGCAGTTAAATGCAATAGATACATATTACACACACAATGTAATTTATCATTAAGTAACATCATTGTTTATAAAATAGTCAGCCTCAATTTTATAAATCTAAGATCTTGAAGAAATATTCTACTTCTAGTAGTCCATCTTCCGGTAGATCGCTGCAATGGATTGCATTTCTAATTTTGTTAGTTCCAAGTTTCGCTCTCATAGTGTGCGGCCGTAATAATCTCGCTATTTCCTAGAACGTATTAGATTATTATTTTGATAAAAGGAACTAAGCAGTTTTATCTTTGCCTATTTATTTTTAACAGATATAACTCACATTTTTGGAAACAAACAAAACATATAACAATGAATTAGGTACTTCTAGGCAAAATAGAAAATTAAAAATACTAACAGTGATATTGTTAGGTTTGTATAGTGTAGGTAAGTTATTAATATTTTTGAATTTACTACAGCTGTTTTTACATTTGTGATAAGTAAGATCTATAAAAGAATCGAAACCAGCAATAGACTTACAGGATCTGCGGGACCGACAAGTTTCCTAAATTCCACAGCACTGTTTAAGGTTTTATCTTTAGCTACAATTTCCATAGCCACACAACTACCACTTGAGAGCTCTTCTACCATTCCCTGTAAATAGACACAAAAACTTACAACGTTATTTTTATCGCACCATGGCTTTAAAATAAAAGAAAATATATCTTGATCGTCCCTACTACAAGGAAGACACATAATCAAGTAGTAATAAGTAGTCAATAAGTCAAGGCACATAATATATAATGTGGGTCCCAAACTGCAATTCTTTAATTGCAAAAACTGCGGTTTGGCAATTAAATTAGTTAAAGAAAATCAGTTTTCATTTTCTTTCTATCGTTAATATTTTAAAAACTGTTTCTGTAGCACTACGAGAGGCATATTTGAATATGACTCCCGGAGTGCCACCAACTTGCACCAAAATGACACAGAAGGTACTTATTTATTGTCAATGACGTGCATGCGATTAGATATATATATATATATATATATATATTTAACGGTTTCCGATCTGTAAAATTTTGCACTCTACAAACGCGATCTCGCGGCACATCCCACCCAACCGACAACAAAGGTCAATAACATTTTTTGACATATTTTACCCCCTTGCTTCGCTTTTGTGCGAAGACAGACGTTTCATTACTGCAACGTTGTACTGTGAAATACAGTAGGTTGATAAGATAAAAGATAAACGCGCTACCGAACAAACGTGTCGACAATTCAATTGCTGCATTCCACTCTTTTACAATAGCGGGTTATCAATTCAACTGTATACATAATAGATACATAATATTTTTCTAGAATTAAGACAACTTCAAACAGGACACTCACACAAATTGTTAAATTCGAGAGAGCAAGGATGGGATGGAATTCATTTCAAAGTTGCATAGGCTACTTTCTTTTTTACGCAATAATAATCCATGACACAGAAATTATGAAAATATTTTTATTGTTATTAATCACCTTATATTCAGGCACAATGCCCTTATAAACTTCGTAGAATTCTGCTGCATTTATGTTTTCGACGATGATCATGTTGAGTGCAGTGATTTCAAAGCCCCCTTCATCTATTAATTCAAACACCGTTCCTAATTTACCCTCACGTATCGCATGAGGTTTCACTATACATAAAGTGCAGTTTGATAAAGTGGCAGTCAGTCGGAGTCGCGACGTCCGTAAAGCTGGAGGAGGGAAGAAGTACTCATTGTCCTGTTAACCGAAAAAATATTTTATAAGACTTAAATCGGCGTTTTATTACATTATGCCCTACATTAATTTACGTACATAGTAACCCATCTCAATTATATACATTTTCAGAGCTTCTATATTCAAACAACAGAACTGAAATTGACGCCCTCGTAGTCACTGAAAATTCAGGCTACTGACCGCAGCCAAAATTTACGGGGGGTTGAAATGTCCTCGATAGCGTCGAGAAAAGAATGATATGACTTCCATGCTCAACTTAAGAAAAACAAAATTAAATGAAATGAGGTTCAGGATGAAAATAGATAATTGTGTTTCAGCCTAAACCTTACTTCATTGATTAGTTGTACCTACGCTGCGTGACTGATTTCAGCCACCGCGAAACGTAGTTAATTATCAAAAAGCTATGTGCTGATTGTAATAATGTGATTGCACTCTCAGTGCTAAGTGTCAAGATCTTATTTTGGACGAAGAGTAAAGGCAACTATAACGAAAAGTAACATACAAAAGGAGGTTTTACCATCGACGAAAACATCATTATAGTCGAAGAAGAATTTAGCGAGTCTTTTGAAAATAATATGCAAGTAGTATTAATGATATTTCCCATTCAGTTTGAATAACATTTGATTTCGGTACTCGTACATATCATTTGTTGTACCAGCGACTCCTAGAATAGCCTACATACTAACATATTACATTACTTACACACTACAGTAATTCATGATTGCTACTAACATGTAATCCTTCTTCTTCGCTCGCTGACGTATGAATGCAATTTTTGATGTTGTCAATACCATACAACGCTCTTATTGTGCCAGGTTCTGCTTTAGCAGGATCTCTATCACCAATTACGTTCTTCAACGTTTCTATTATATCTTTACCTACCAGCTCCATGCCATAAACAAATTGACCAGTCAGAAAGTCTAGCAAAAATCTGCAATGAAAAGAATATCATTAGAATCTTACCATAGGAGAGACATGCTTAGGCCCTAACGGCTTGGCTCGACCGGCCATGGCACGGCCCCACAGCAAAACCGTTGTTAAGCAATTGTTTTGTTGCTTTTCACCAAGTGAAGTTACTAAGGTGTCTATTTTTAGAAATATATCCGTACCTTCTGAATTAGTTACGGTTTTGACTCAGAAGCTAACTTCATTCGTTCTAAATTACAAATATGTGGAGATGGTAAAATAAAATAAATAAGTATTCACAATTATCAATTGACATCATCTGTCTAACACAGATGATGTAAATCGAGATTTGGTAGGTGATAATAGAGCAGTAAAATGAATTTATACTTAAAAAAACCGGTCAGATACGAGTCGAACTCGTGCGCCGAAGGTTCCGTACCTACCCAGATCCAAAATTTATCTGGTATAAATTTCATCTTGCTAGGTCTACCCGTTCTTGAGAAAATCGGTGGTGACACACGGACAGGCGAACAAGAAAGTGATCTTATTTATACCTACCTTTTTTACCTTTTGAGGTACGTAACCCTAAAAGACAAATATATATAAGGATTGATTTAGGTAACTTTTGGGTTGTTCAGTCAAATAGTAAAAATTATGGTTTCAGGGATCTATTCTTAAAAATTGTTGAGGCTCAGCTGTGAGCTACTACGAATATCCTGAATAAGCAACGGGGGGTTGCTTATTCAGGATAGGAACAACAGTGGCCAGGTTACCAGAATGTGGTGGGGTGTTTTACAATAGTCCCATGACAACCTTGTGTCGTGGCAATTCAATGCCGCCACTGAATAGGCGTCACTCTGGTGCAAGACACCAGCAGTGGTATCAGTTTTTTTTTTTTGAAGTCTTTTTTTTTTGTTTATTTGCGTGGAGGTATCGAGACAAAATTAACTTCAAATACATACATATGTCTTGGTCCTTTAAAGCTATAAAAAATCAAGCTTCATAATAAATGTATTCAAAAGATATAACTATTGGCACTTGTAAAACTGAACTTAAGAATGTATGGGAGTGTAAGTTTAGAATGGCATGTAGGTGGTTTTTCTATCTCGGGGTTTTCTGTCAGTGTCCTTTCCATAAACCTAATTACTCTATTCTAATTGTTTTATTTTGTCCTTGTCCAAGTTTTATCTTCAGGTATAGATTAAACACACAACCCTAGTGAAAAGCATTTATGATAATTTAAAAATATCGTGTACCTACCTGCAAAATTAAGAACTATTGAGTAACTGACTAAAAATTAATAATAACTAACTATAAGGTGAATTTTCTTAAAAAACTGGCTTGAATGTTTTACAGAAACACTCTAATAAGCTTTGGCCTCCAAATACAAATAATTTCTTGCATATAACTTTTAGAGATAACTTTTTTTTTGGTTTAAGACATTTATTTCCTCAAAAGAATATTTACATTCGTTTGTCAGAGAAAATACAAGATAAAAATAGTAAGTAACAAGTGCCGGAGCGGTGCTTCAATTACATATTATTGTTTTTATATCTAAGTAAATAAATATGTAGTATAAAACGTTTAATAAATAAATAAAGAGGGTAGCTATCACAAAGCAAAACCAGCCGGACCCACGCCTGCCGAGATTACCAAGTTTGCAATATTGCAAGTTGTAAGCAAGTATGTTATGGCCGTATAACGTATTGTATGGCGATTGCTATCGTACTTCTATCGAGTGACTGTTATCGTGTATTTTTTTTTGTGACACCAAAATTTACAAAACATTTTTATTTGTAATTTTTATTGCTAAAAAAAGATACCCATACAATTATTTTTGAATTTTATTATAATTTAATAGTGAAATTTAATCATCAAAAATTGGCTTTTTTAAGATTCCCTCGCAAATTTCTAAAACGCAACGCTATTGGTTGAATAAAACGTGACGTCAACCTACACTATCAAGAGTGTCAACAAGTTGTGTGTGTTTATAATATTTGGTTTCTGGTGATTTTTTGTTTCATTTTAAGTTAATAACTAATACGTTTTCAGTGTGAAATTATTAAATTCCCGTGTAGAAAGACTCAACACAATGTCTGAAACCGGTTTTGTCAAAGCACAATTAGATAATCTTCCTAAAATAGACGTGTTTATGATGAGCACCTATTTCGCATCTAATTCAGATTTTACGTCTGCTGAACTCAGAGGAGTAAAAGCTGCGAGGTAAACAAGTTATATAAATTTTATTAAATGATCGTTTTCATGTTTTGTTAATAGTCGTATAACATAAATATAACCTAAAATACGCTCCAGGTGTAGTTTTGATATTATTTGGGCACAAAGGAACGGCACAATATTTATAATAAGTTTTTATTTGCTTTTCCATGTTAATAAGTTAATTTTTATGACTCACTTTTTTAACTTTCAGAAACTTTGTGAACTTCACTCCGTTGTTGACATCGAATTCGTCTGAAAGTGTAATCTGACGTCACAAAAAAAGCGCGCTAAAATGGACGTGTTCAAATTGCCCCAAAATGATAGTGATTTTAATAATTTTTTTTTGCTTAACGGTTTATTTTTCTAGTAGAATCGTTAAAAAAAATACATGCTTATTCCCTATTGTCTACTTTGAAATCATAATCCAAATTAAAGATTCAATGTGAATGTTGCAAAATTTGCTTTACCAACCAAACCAAACATTAAATTAAGTTTTCTGAATTCCCACTTTACAATCTTTTTTGTTAGATTAATAAATTATATTTAAATTTACTTATTTTTTATATTTTTGGTTGTTTAGCTGATACAAATACAAATCATGTATATGTAGAGATGCAACATAAACTCCTTCGAGTTTTACCGTACATCAATGTCGTCATATGTGACTTACATTGTCACAAAATATCACAAAATGCAAATACATCTACACAAAAAACACCCACACAAAAAGCATCACAATATATATATAATATCTATGTATTTACAAAAAAAAAAGTATATGTGTATTTATATCAGTTGTCTAGTACCCATAGTACAAGCTCTGCTTAGTTTGGGACTAGATGGCGTTGTGTGTATGTGGTAGAATATATTATATTATTATATTATATTAATAATAAAGTGAGGGTAGTCTACAAAAATGTGTACGCAGTGCGCAATGGGTCACATCGACCGCGCGTCAGTGATGAATCCTATAATATAATATTGTGTATACATTTATGTTATCTTACTACACTATACAGGTTGTTCCAGGGTATGAAAAAATGGGCGATTCAATTTTGTAAAAAGTGTTGTTTCAATTTTGTTTATAATAAAAGACCTATTTCTTATAGTTCCATGAATTCACCGTGCGGGTGCCGAGTCCATCGAGTGATAGAAGGGCGCAACACATGCGACTTCGTCAGCGCCTGGGAATTGGGACCCACGTATAGGTTCAGCGAGTACTCCTTGCGACGCGTCAGCGCTCACTTCCTGTCTGCTGTGTTACCCCCTCTACCTAACCATATTTGATACGAGCCCAGCAACGCCGCTTTAGATATTCGTTCAAGAAAAGAGCTTAATGAAGCTTTGGGCAATCCAAGGTCTCTAAGCAGGTTATAGAGGGATTTAGCCGGTATACCCCTCGCACCCACTTCCACGGCATACAACGCAATGGCATAATCATTTTTAGTTATTTCGTTGTTTAAGTCAAAGTTCTTGTTTCTTTTTAAAGCGTGGTCTTTAGGGATGTTCGTTTCCCACGGCACCGTGAGCTCCACTGTCTGCCTGTACTTATTTCCGCACTGCACATCTTACAAGCCTTTTCTGTAGCTTTTCCCCACTTTGCTAGGTTGCTTTGACCGGGATAAAATTTTAACAGGGCAGGTGACCAATAGTATACAAGTGTGCGCGATTTCAAAGCTTATAAAATTCTCCTAGAGTTAACCATTCATTCTGCAAATCTAGGTTCCTTGCGTGGACCTTGTAGGTCTGGTTTCAGCTTGTTGTAGGAAAGATTTTGTTATCTCTTTGTCGGTATGTCTTCTAAATTCTAAATCCAAGCTTTTTTGAGTTACCTATTGGCTGTTGGTCTACCATGCCAATGTTTTTTACGAAGTCATCGACTATTGCATTCATAGAAGGAGTACGACCTTTGTAATCTATCTTTCTTCCGAGGAATTTAAAAAGCACGGTTTCTGATATTATTAAATCACAATCCCCACCATTAGTGATCCCGGGATCTTATGATGTATATCTGGTACCTCGTCGGCCCAGACAAACGCAATAGCATTTGCAAGGTTTTGTCCTCATTCCCTCCGTCCAGGTACTGAAGTAAGTACACTTTATGCAGTCGTTCTTGGCACTGCTTACGTGTGAGGATCGCATGGTCGTCTGCGAATGCTAAGATAGATTCCGTATATTTTCCATTGCCTTAAACCTGTAGCCCATCCTCTTTTTGTGTTAAGATATTGTCTATTAATGTATTTATAACTGTATTAAATACTACTGGTGATAAGCAGCAACCTTGGAACAACCCTACCCTGTATTCGAGGGGTTTTGTATGTCCCTCCTTTGCTGTGATTACAAATTTTAATTACTGTAGTATGATGTAATTATTTCACAAACTGTTGGCGGAAAGTTATACCATTTCAAGGCAAATAACATGAGCTGGTGTCGTTTTTAATCTATCCAACAGACTGTAATTTCACTTTCATTTTCCCTAGCATCTTTGAGATTTGCCGCAAGTAATTAGTTATGTTCCAGACAGCCAGAGATTCTGGGCATGAACCCTTTCTGGTAATTTGGTCTGAATTAATTATTGTTGGACATAAACTGCATTATTTTTAATTGAAGACAGGAGAAAAGTATTTTAGAAATTGTATTGGTAAGGGCTATTGGTCTAGTGTCTCTGGGATCTATTTCTTCATTTTTGAAGTGTTAAAAAACAGTGTAAAATGTTTTTATATAACTGTATTATAGTTTTAGGTATATGCCTATAGACATAACTATATCAGTGTTTCAACCACCTTACTGCGATATACACATATAATATTATAGACAAATATCGTTTTTTTTCCATTCATAGTTCATGAATTTGATAATTTGCTTAAATATGAGATAATTAGTTTAAAAATATTTTTTATTCAATTACATGCAGTTTGCTATGTACTCTTAATTTGTGCATATGCAAAGAATGTAATTCCTATAGAAAATAATTAATATTATGACATAATAGTTTGAGAAATTAATTTTATGCTACTGCTATTTAAATCAAATTCATGTCTTTATTTTCCTGTAAATAAATTTCATTATATTTTCATAATCGTCAGCATATTGCAATCCATTGCCAGACATAGGCCTCTAACAGCGCACACCACATATCAATTTTGGCGTTTTCGCATTCAGCTCCTGCCAGCCATCTTGTGCAAATCGTCACTTTATCTGGCCTGTGGGCATCCAACACTTTGTTTGCCAATACTCTGTCTCCCCTGAAGAACTTGTTTGACATGGGGTATCTGAACTAACAACTGTTGGTGGTTGTCAGTTCTGCCACTAATATGGCCAGTCCACTGCCACCATATCATTATATCTGTAATTAATATACTCACGGAAATGTTGGGAAGGAAGATTCTGATTGGTATAGTACACTAACATCCTCAGCAGTAAGACAGGCCTTCTTCATCTTTGTAACACGTATTCCACTGTTATGTAGGTGAGTCAATATTTTTCCAGCTACATCAGCAGGTACTGGCTTGATCATACCAAATGTTCTGAAATAATTTGTATAAAAATATTTTACACTCCAATGACTATATTTTGATGTATTTGGAACCCTATGGATATCGAGTGCACTATCATTATCACTATCCCCTATATAAACAACACTGCACTGTTGATTGGACTACAAAGCAACTCATCAACAGCCATTAATAATAAAGGATGTTTTGGCCTACTATGCCACACTAGCCAGACGGGTTGGTATTGGGTTTGTGTCAAGTTTTTCTTCTCTTTGCAGTGCTGTTGTCCTGCATAGTTTTCTCCCTTTTGACTCTTATGACACCCACGGGATGCATAGGGGTGGTGACACTCCATATTCTTAATCCGTCAACAACGTCTATCCGTCAAACAAAGCAAAAACAAATTGAGGAAGAACTATAATTGTTCAGGGGTACTTAATAAACCTTTATTTACCATTAAAAAAAATTGGGTTTAGTCTAATTCTCTATTTGAAATATTATTGAGAGCCTGTTGGTCTAGTGGTTAGTTATCCTGACAGTTAAGCCAGAGGTTGTAAGTTTGATTCCCACCCAGGACATATAATTTTGTGATGAGCATGGTCATGTGTTCTGTGTCTGGGTGTTTTTTATCAAACTCAAAACATCTTTATTTCATTAAATTGATTGAAATAGTCTTTTATGTAGACTCTAAAGTCGTAAGTACACATCACAGTCAGTCACACTATAGCAACAATCTCTGTTTCGTCAAATAAGTAGCACAATAAATTATTATTTATATATCTAGTATGTGTATCTAAAAAAAATATAAAATCTTTTATCAGCAGTCTGGTATGACATGTGTGGGTTATTTTTATTAAAATTTTACTTACAATTGCATATTTTTATTTACTTTTTTCCTAGTAAAATCACAGGCAAAATCCACAATTTTAATGAGGCGACCTAAAATGTACAAAGTGCAGCCAATGTAGAAACTTTCTATAGTAATTCCGTCCACTTTAACTCGTCTTACAAAAGTTTTCCGGGTTTTCAGATCAAACATTTCTAGAGTCCCATCCGTGGGGTAGTAGAATACATTAAATCGACGAATAAGACTTGCTTGATTGTCGTACCACTCGCCAATAAATGAATATTTTTCATTGTAAGCCCCCTCCTGAAAGGATTTGAAGAACATTGAATTTAGATTATTATTATAACTCAGTAGTGAACTAAGAGAATCAAAGAGAATCAATCATACCATTATGTACAGCGCTATAAAATAAAGTTTAAATGTTTATTTGGCATAACCGGCAACCGTGTTAATAGTTTTAACAACAAACCAACCAAACAAAACGCACATCTGTCACTGTCAACGGCCTAACAGTTTAGTGGTGTACGACTCGACTTTTCTAACCCATTTAAACCGGTTTGAGCATGAACCGAGTTGACTTAATTTGCCCATGGTTTAAACTCGAAGTGCAGCTCAATCTTATGATATGGTTGACCCTATCATAAGATTGAGCTGCACTTCGAGTCTCGCGACTTCTGCTTTTTCGGTCGAACAAAACTAAACTACAAACTAAATCTATCCACCAACTGATTTTGAACGACGGCAGTGAATTATATTTATCAATTTACCTACAAGCACAAGCTACATTATTATGTTCCTACAAAATCGGATACGGTCAGTTTAATAATAATTTAATACATAAACTGATTACTAACCGTTCGGATCTAATGGACATTTTTTTCTGATATCCACACAAATGAGAAAAAAATAAGGTTTGGTAATCGTGTTACTTGAATGAATAGTTTGTTGTATTGTACTTAGCTTTCAACAAACTACCAAACAATTTATACCGTTGCCGCGTCGGTCGTCGGTTAGTTTAGGTAATGTCAAGTTTAATGCTTGTATGTAAGCTTGGTTGCCGACCGTTGACACACCGAAAAACGATTCTTCAATCGATTCCATCGAATCATCTTGCACATCACTTTCGAATGTTACATTCGATGGTCAACTCATCACACGGTTCAAACCACGGTTTACCGCTATTTCAACGGTTCAGTTTCGAACTGATACACACGAATTGTTAAACCGATTCAACTCAGTATGACAATATCATTATCCATCTAGCATCTGTGAATTTAATTGCGGTGGGTGACCGAAAGAGTACGCAAACTTGAAAATAGAGAAAATAGGAATATTGTTTCTGAAACTGTTGTGGAGATGTTGCTAGCGATGGAATCATACCATCACACCTGTGACTGACACCTGTTATTATTATTAAGCTAGCGCAAGACTCGCGAAATGTCTAAAGAAAAAAGGTCGTAATCTTTGAAAAAAAAAATTGATTTTAATGCCATTTATCTTAATCTAAGACGAAATCTCAATCACATGTGAAATCACTGTAACTAAAACCATTTCATTAAACGAATCTGATTTAAAAGTAGCAATAATTTCCACGTCTAGATGTTGCCATGGCCAAAAATCGTGTTGTGCTGGTTTTAATAAAATACCCAAATCGGTATACCAAGTCAGCCTGCAGTCGGCATGTCATTCGGTATGTATTCTGTAGGTTGGCCTGTCAATCCTATTGGCAAGTTTAAAAGTAACGATAACTCCGAATCCAATGCAACTGGGAAGGAAGCCAGTTTGATTAATTTTAATTTTAGTGTGACAATAATAAACAATGTCACATAGGTAACTTGAGAAATAAGAATAAACTTGAACTTATCAGCGCACGCACTAATTAAGGTAAAAAACATTATTGTTTGAGGGAGCACAGCTGTTCAATGATTTAAAAAGGATTCAATAATGTGAACACATTATTAAAAAAAGCATAAGAAATATCTATGTATACGTTAACTTCTAATACTCTAGAGATAAAATTAACGATAGGCATTAGCGATAGGTATGGCTCACTGACTGACAACAAGGCCAATTCTCGTAATAAAAGTTCAATCACAATTAGTTCCTATCAACTCTCGATCGAATAAAAGGTATTTTCGTAGTAAAATAGTAAAGTAATGCTAAGATATAATCACATAACAGTCATCGTTGGATGTTTATAGTTTCGTCTATTATTCAATATACTTTGTAAAATTACTACTAAAATGACATTTGTGAGATCACAATCGTCAGGCATTTCAAAGGTATGTACTTCATACCTATCGTGAGTGAAACTATTATTAATTATGTACTACTAGCGACTTGCCTCGGCCTTGCACATGTTCAATTTAGATACTAATGTGGTGTCAGTCTTAAGTAATTAAATTAATACAGGATATTGTTATTTTATACAATATTCACACACGCGCACGTTTCACGCCTGCCAGCTGCTGCCACCGGAACGGACGTACGGCCTAACTTCCGCTCTGCCCTGCTCTGATATCTACTAAAAGAGTTCAGAGTAATTTTGATTTAAAGTAAATGCACAAAGTATCTAACGTAGATAATTGGAAAAGGAATTATACTGTATTATTTAAAATAGCTTCGTAAATTACCTACTATTCTTTTTGTAATATGTAAAAGATAAAAATAGTTACTGTCGATTATCCTTATGCGATAGACATCCCATCGTGAAGTTTTATGTAGATATTTTTAAGATATACAATTCCATAGTACACATTTTGATCTATCTCGTAACAAACAAATCTTTGAAATTCTCGGATTGTCTGTACTATAATATGCACATCGGCGCCGCCAGGATTTCTCTCATAAAGTGCATTTGCATCTGCCACTACACATAATACTATTATCTGATGCAAAATATAGAACTATACAAATATATTATGTAGATAAATGTATTGTCAAATTCAAATCGCGCGGGTATATGATGATTGAATATATTTCGCCCAGCGAAATCATAGGTACTTTATCGCGGTGGTAGATGGTTGGCATTATTGCACGGGGAATCCCCGCTGCCGAAAGAAAAAAATTGCGTCCGTTAAAAATAACAGAGGTTCCCAGACTTTTTTCTCATAGACTACTTTCATAATTTAGCTGGTTCCGGTGGACCCCTGCAGCTACATTCCTACCATATTCCCAAAACTCGAAATGGAATAACTATGGAACTATGGAATTTTGCGTATCGGCTAAATTCCAACCACGACTGAATAATTTAAAAAAAAAAGTAAGAATTGATTGGTTAATTAATTAATTGATTGCGCTGTGATATAATGTTAAAAAATAAAGTTGGCCCATCAAAAAAGTAATTCCATCAAAATTTACTTTTTTGACATCTACTCACAGCACAAGGAACCATTCATAAGAAAACTCCCTATTCGAAAAGAAAAATAGTATATTTTTTTGTATTGTATTTATTCAAATATGTTATTATTACACTATTAATTATTAGTCGTAATATAATTAAAATTAAACATTAATAACGTAACGTAACTTCTACAATGACAATCACAAAATAGTCATAATTTTATGCTCCTGATGGATTGACAGCAAATTATCAATATGTGGCTTCAGTTTTGTCAGGAATAACCGCAAATCTGCCCGTGCCGTGATATTCAATCGGCTCCTTTTTTATTAAAAGGTTTGTAACGACACTAAAACTTTTTTCGACAAGACATAACGAGGGAAACGCTATACAAGGGCTTTCTCGCAATTCCCTACAGTCTATAATATTTTTCGGGTATTTCTGTATGCACCCAAAATGTTTGATACCCTCTTTTAAATGTCACGTTCAGCTTCTCATTAGTGCTAAGTTCGAGTAGCTCCTCTTGAATTATCACATTCTCCACTTCCGTTTCATCCAATGGATTTTTGATTTATGGTGGTATTTCCATCGTCAGAATATCTTCAAATCTGATTTTGAAGTCATCATGCAGGGCAATTAAATGATGAACGTATGTCTGAATATCCTCATCAAGGCATTCTTCCTGTGACAAGTTTGAAAAGTGGGACAATTTGCGCCGACTAATGTTTTGCTTCATAAATTTCAATTTTCCAAGAGGAGTCGAGTTTTTATTAAATTGAGGCTGTCCTTGTAATTGTAAGTTAATATCATTAATTTTTCTTAACAATTCTGTCAAATACGCGATGTCTGCTTTCAAATTAATCTGGTTTTCTTTTAAATCTGGATCTTTACTTTCCAGAAACTCTAAAACTGATTCAAAAAGTGAGTAAAATCTTGGTAAACATGCACCTTTCGACAACCAGCGTATCCAGTATGTAAGAGCAATCGTTGTAAGTCTCCATCATTTTCATCGCACAATTGTGCAAATAAACGCGTATTCAACGCATTGCTTCTTATTTCGTTAAAGATAAAGATCATTTATTTATACATATGTACAATGGTGTTAAAAAATGTTATAGTCTCAACATGTTCTGCCCATTTCAAGACATACAAATATTAAAAATATTATAATTAACTATTACTAATCTACACCTTTTTTTTTCGTGCGAAAATCCCCTCGGATACCACCTATCGGTGGCGTGTCAGACACGAACCGACTAAAACCGCACGCCGTCTCGGGTACTAATAGCCGGGGAACCAGGTATACCCTAGAAAGACTAATCTACACCTAATCAAAAGTATACAATAAAAATAACTTCATACATCTCACACACAGAAAGAAAAAAGCAATTAAATACAATTGCAACTAGTAATAAAACATTGTTTTTAATGATAAAATTTTAAAGCAATTGAATATAAAGCAACAATACAATTACGTTATTTGTTTATCATTCAGAAATTCGCTTATTGTATAAGAAAGGGGCTTTTAGGTGTCGTTTAAACAAGTGTAAAGCAAGTGTCTTACATGAGTTTGGCACTTTTTGGACATTTTGGGTGCCACACAGAATATGCTTTTGCTCATGAGTGTTGTCTTAGCAGTACGCATACATAGTCTATTGCTATGACAGTTACGTCGATTGCGAGCAGTTACGTCTGACAATTTAAGGAACACACCTCAAGTCGTATTTCGTCCCTTTGCACGTCTGAAGAAGCGTTGCGAACGGCGACGACGGCAGTTACGGCGCTTTGCAAGTCTCGACACGTTGTACTGAATATAATAATGAAAATGCAAGTTTTGACAAATAAAACTCACTGAGCTCCTTAAAATATTATCTGCCTACATTGATAGGTGAACATCTAAATTTTCGTGGACCCCCGCTTACGAATTGTGAACCCCCTACTTTTTGTCACTCCAACGTAGACCCCCATCTGGAACTAAGGGTGTATAAGTATGGTCCGCCCTGGCGGATGCCCGGCGATGGACGCAGCTATTATTTCATATACACGACACACACATACACGTGTGTGTGTGTATCTCATCACTCTCTCTTTTGATAGAACCCAGTTGCGCAGTTGCGTACCCAAAAGGCGGCAACGCACTTGAGACTTGAGTTGAAGTGTCCATGGTCGGTGGTAGTAACTTACCATAAGGTAACCCATCTGCTGTTTTGCCCATTCATAAAATAAAGTTGTCAAAATATATGTTTTCACAATCTCGCAAGTATTATGTACGCACCTCCTTATAATAGTTTTATAGACCATAGATTATAGTGACGACACTCTGCGGTTACAGAGAATTATTAATAAACATGGAATTTTGACATAATTATGTACTATGTTTTGTTGAAGTAATTATATTGAAGTGGCTTAGCTTAGTTGATTTATTTTGTATCTGTTAATAGAATGGTAATATATTTGTATGTAAACTGCTTTTTTTCTATAGCTTTACCATAGCCGCATAATTAAAAAATGTACCTACATATGAATTCCAAACCCAAGACTTCATCTTAAAACACTTACGTTTCAAATAGAAATTAATATTAAATTATTCAATCTTTATAGGTGTGGGATTATTTTGACAAGTTTTCGTTTGTATGCGATATGTATAATGAAGATGCTGGAAAAATCGAAGAGTTAATCTTAAACTTTTTTCCGTACGACAACTCAGTTCAAGTACTAAACCCAGATAAAGGGAAAAATCTTCTCAGACGGGTGCAAATACCAAGTATTAATTTCGCAAAGTTGCAAATTGGGAATATTGTAAATGTGTTTTCTAAACTATTACTTATTACTGATTGTGTTCCGGCAACACGAAGAACATTATTTAAAAATGTTGAAAGGTACGGTATTGGTTGACTATTATAGGGCAAATACGTAGAAGTTTGAACAAAATACTTTAGCAAGATATCTTTGATTGATGGGCTTAAAGCTTAATGGTTGTAGAATATCACCCCGTTTTTTTCTCCAAAAGGAGTAGTTAGAAACCTACATTTTGCCAGCTATATTCGGTCTTAAGTAACTGTACGCGAGCCTATGACGGTCTGACTGATAATATATTGATGTCTGGTAAAAACGTCATCTGTAAGAAGAAAGTGAGTGACTGAACTGAACTGAAGATTACACTGAGTAAATGAGATCGTTATGTACCTACTTATATGTATTATACTTATTAAATTACCTACATGTAAGTAAGCCTTGACCGCTTTAAAACGTTCTCTGCCTAATGTAGGACCTACTGAAGATTTTAATCTTTAGTAGGTTATTAATAATTATTGCAAAAGAAAATTCTAAATAGACACTAATTGCGAAGTTGAGCAAAATGTGTATAATTCATAGCCAAAATTGAAAACCATGGCACGTTTTCATTTAACTTCTGTATTTTATTCCTTTTTGTATAGATGCCTATACATATAAATATTAAGGGGCACGGCCAGAATTTGTTTTAGGATAGGCCAAAACCAGAGAATTTCGTCGCGCCGGTGCCGACGGTGTCAACGAGACTGCGAGAGTTTGAGTTTGGTTTTAAACCGAATCAAATTGATTATTTATTAACTAGCACTAGACCCGCTAAGTATACCAATATCAGTATATCAAGAAAATGTAATTACAATTAAGAAAAACATAGTCATACTATGTACATAATGATGTACAACCGTTTTAAATCGATAAAAATGCTTTTAAACGGGTTTAAACGTTTTTTTTTCGTGTTAAACGGATTATTTTAATGGGTTTTAAACCGGCCTTACATATAGATGTAAGGCCGGCCACAGGACACATGGAGTGACTAGAGTCACCCCACGTGGCCTGTGGGCGTCCGACACTACGTTTACCGAGACGCGGTCTCCACTCAAAACTCGTTTACCCCTATGGTTGTCAATTCTGCGGCTAATATGGCCAGCCCACTTAGCCCTTTCCATAGCACCCTGAGCGACTTTGAGCTTTTAGACCAGTACCTTAAGTGTCCACGTTTATGCCACGCATTGAAGAATTTCGTCTTTAGGCACTGTGGGATCGAAGATGACAAGACTCGACGCAGTTGCCTAAACGCTCCCCCACCCATAGTAGAGAAAATAACATTTACTAAATAATATATGTGTGTGATCATAGTTCTAAAGCGTTCCACACACCAGTGATAGATGATTTATATTTCGTTTTTTTATTGTCTTATTTCGGTATTTAAAAAAAAAATGTTATGTTTGGTTGCTGATTACCGACCCTGTATGTACCCTTTATTTTTGACTTCTGGTATATTGAATTTTTTCTTCTATGTGTATTTTTTGGAGTTAAATGCCCATAGTAGGCCAAAACCTCCTTTCTAAGGAGAGGCCTATGTCCAGCAGTGGACTAGTATAGGCTGTTGATGTGATGTGAAATGCCCATTAGGTACGACTGCTATCTGATGTACTTAAATAAAAACAAAACGTCGTCTCTCGAGGTTAACCTATTTGTCTCAGTCTAAATTTTGTCGGTCTATAAGTTTATCTTTATTTGCAGTACTTTTGCAATGATTAAACCAATTTTACCAAAGGACCATGGAAAAATTATAACATATATAATGAAAAAAGGATTCCGCATAGTTCGTATGAAAAATGGCAAAATCAGCAAAGACTTCGCTTTGGAGCTTTACAAGAATATATCTGGAAACAGTATGCTACCGTAAGCTCTGTCTTCTTGACTTTTGAATATACAATATGAAGACATCAGGTCATTTTCGAAGTAATGGTCAAACGCCATAAACATATACATTTGTAAAAAGTAGTTTAAAACAAGGTAAAATTTAATATAACACACACTTCAACACCATTTGTTGATATATCGATTCTGGATCAATGATATTTTAAGAAAGACACGTTATACTCGTATTCGTACTGCACGCACAAAATATTTGTTCCGTAACTGTACATCTATTAATGCATTTTAGAACAAAACATAGGCACTCTTACCTGTGGTATGATATTCCTTTAGCTTTATTTAACTTTTTGTCGTAATTTGTGCACTTTCGGAATACACATTAATCATGTCATCGTCAATACGAGGCATGCCTTTTAAGTTTTGTCGTTTGAAGAAAAAAACACAACTAGAACCTTATAGTACTTTTTATTGTTTTTTCAAAGTATTCACCGCGTAACTTAATACACTTTCCCATTCGCTCAAACCAGTTATTATAACATTTATTCCACTCTAAAGTGGGGGTGTTCAAAATGGCTGACTTGAAAGCGTCGACTGCTTCTTCACCGGAATGGAACCTTTGACCACGAAGACTTTTCTCCATTTTAGGCAATGTAAAGAAAACGTTAGGGCTTAGGTCAGGACTGTATGGAGGATGGTCAAGATTTTTTACTTTTTCCTCCTTCAAATACTCAATCGTTTGACGAGCGCTGTGTGAGCTTGCGTTGTCGTGGTGCAGGATGATGCGTCGCTTTGAGTTAGATTTTCGAAGTTCGGCGATGACTTGTGGTAAACAAACTATGGTATACCACTCTGCGTTAACCGTTCTAAGATCTTCAAGTGCATAGTCGCAACATGGCCGGTTTTTCCAACGAAAGTGGCCACCATCTTCTTTGAAGTGCTTTAAGAACGAACAACTTTAGTCGGCTTTGGCTCGTCTTAAAAGACCCAGATTGTACATTGTTATTTGGAATCAGGAATGTAGCCATAGATCCAAGATTCGTCACCACTGATGATGTCGTAAACGTGATTTGACTCTCCTCGGTTGAACCTTTGCAGAGTTTTCTTACACCATCTGACGCGGGCCGAATTGTGATCGTCGGAAAGCAGATGCTGTATCACACCAAGCGCTTCATGCAAGATCTTCCGAATGGTTGTCCCTGAAATGCCTAATAGAGCCTCTATCTCTCGATACATCACAGGACGATCTTCGAGAATTAGTTGTTTCACAGCAATGATGTTATCTTCAGTGAAGGCGGATTTTGGGCGTCCCTCGCAAGATTTGTCACTAACACTAGTATGTTCACGCTGGAATTCTTAATACTAGCGTTCGACAATCCGCAGACATTCAGGCTTCATCACTGAACACAGATGTTAGCTCTTCAAAACACTGAAGCCGTGTCAGGCCTCTTCTAAAGTTGTAAAAAATTATTGCACGAACATTTTCCTTAGAAAGATTCATATTCGTACGTAACCTGACAGATTCAAATCGACGCTGTGACTAAACAATAGCATTAATCCTAATACTTTCAACTGTTTTGAGATTCAAAATTTAAACACATTCCAATATGGAACAGTTCCAAATTCAAAATTGCCGGGAAATATGGAAACGACAGAACTTAAAAGGCATGCCTAGTACACATCTCGAATTAATTAGTAGGTGAGTGGTCCTAATTAGGATCCTCGCGTTTTGTGCGTTGGTGGCATATCTACCCGTGGCCGGATTAATCATTAGGCGCAGTAAGCAACTGCCTAGGGGCCCCGAGCGCGTACAAAAGAAATTGAATTTTTTTCATACGGTGAAATGGTAATTGGAAAATTTGTATTACGAAAGACAATAGGTATTATTGGATTTTAGATGCATGCTGTCAATTGATAAAATACTTCATACCTATAGAAGAGCACCATCAGCTATCGAATAGTAGAACTAATAATATGGATGCTTAACGTATTGGATGAAAAACAAAAGATTTGAAATTCTTAATCTGTGAGTATTGTGACCGTAAATGAATTTGTGATGAAATGAAAGGTTTTACTGTGCTTAAATATTTTGGTTGTTACAATAGTCTACTATTACATTATTTATTTTCTTAGTATGGACATATTAGGAAAATAAATAACCTTGGACACAATGTTCTATGTGCAGTGAACTAAATAAATTTGGTTGGAATATATGCTGCAGAGAGCTATATTATAGCAATGTCATTCTTTGAATTTGTACAGGAACTATACAATGTTTTAGTGCCTGGCAAAACGAAAAAAATGTGCAAGAGCCGATGCGACTAAGGCTTTGTCAGAAGTACCTATACAAGAGTTTCCAGAAAGCTTTGCGATCTATTGCTGACGATAAGATAGACAACGCAAGCGATCCACGTAGCTTGATGTGTTTAATAGACATCAAGCCTCGTGGATCGCTGGAGGATATGGAAAAAATAACATGCCGTACTGACAATATTTTGGGCTGTTTTACGAAACAACAGTGTCAACATATCTTTACAAAAATCAACTATTAAACTGTGAATTACAGTCAGTTTTTTTTAAATCTCTCTCTGCAAGAGTTATTTGACTATTACGATACGAAAGCAAATGAGGTAACTGATACCGAGTACAGTGATGAAAACTAGCGTGTGCGAAGAAGTAAAAGCCATCACCGTGATGGATCTGCAGAAGAGGTTGTGACTAAAGGACAATATAAGTTAAAGATTGAAACATATTAGCCTGTACTAGACCTACTGTATGCATAAGTGACTAGAAGCTTATCAGCAAATTACTTCTATGTTTGAATTTCTAACAGATTATGTGAAAAAGACCAACAATGAAATTAAAGAGGCTTGTAAAAAAAATAGTGAATTGTATTCCGAGAACGGAGCACGGAGACGAAGCACAGGTCATCTGGCACTGCTGATGCTATTTTCTTTCATCGACTTTAAAAGAGCTAATAGTCTTCAAACGGGTAGAAAAGGGGCCCCGAGGATCGCATCGCCTAAGGGCCACGACTTGGTTAATCCGGCCTTGTATCTACCTCTTGATTGTATCTAACATCATTGTTCTGGATTCGATATAGGGTTTTAGGGGTAAAATATTTACCACTCACGATTTCTGCACCATCTAAAGGTTGACTGGAAGAAAATGACTTGGGCATTAAGTCCGCTGATGTACAAAAGTGCATAAAGTTATAAATAAATAAATATTTCCCTCCGTATCAGAAGGACATGTTAGCAAAATGCTATTAAGGTTATTAACGCAATGAAAGTAAATCGTTTTTCTAGTTAAATGTCTAAAATCTGAAAAGATATAGACTAAAATTTAAATTCACAAAGATAAAACAACATTTAATCGCATAAACTTAAGAGTTTTCAGAGGTTTTAGTAACCGCCGCCGAAAATAAAGCGTTTTAGATGAGACACAGGTTTAAAAAAAAATATAAGATGATTTATCATTTTCATCTAATTTTCTCACTTCCATTTTATATGTTTGGTCGAAAATACAGGCATTCTGTCGAATAACGTGCGTTTAAATTTCAATTCTTGCCATTTGTCTTCTTTGCACAATGCATGAACATATAAAGGACAACTTTTTTTCTTCCATTATATTAGCTCATTGTAACGCCTTTTTTTTACGCGTGGAATCCCCCTCGGGCCGTCACCCCACGCGGGGTTTGCGACGGGGTGGTATGTCGGAATCGGACCGACTAAAACCACATGGTGCGCCTGTAATAGAATGTATCCGGGAACTGCTTTTATTAAGACATCCGGACCCCTCCTCGCACCTGCCCGCGGAGGTCGCCTCCTCGCGGCTGGCCATTACAGCGGGTGGAGTGGAAATCCTGTCCCGTCCACCCGCGGCCACACTCAGGTGCTGGTAAGTGCGCCTCCGTCGGACGTCCGCCGCCCAGTCCGTCCGCGGCGAATTGGGTCCGAGTAGAGATCATCCTCCAGGGCTATCTCGGCCGCCTCCTTCTGCGAGATTACATCTTCGCAGAAGGTTGCGACCGCGGAAAAACAACTATCACTACCAGCCATGGAGCGTATGACGGCCGGAAGCGAGAGATCTACTCCGATGACTGCAATGAAGACCCGACGCTGCGATGCCCAAGCCGAGTAAATTGCCTGCATGTTCTGAGCCGAGTCCTCACTGCAATTGCAGTCGTGACACCCGGGATTCAATTCCCTCCTAGCGACCGAGTGCAGGTACTTCCCGAAACAGCCTTGCCCGGAAAGGACCTGCGTCAGTCGGAAGGAAAGGGTCCTGTGCTTCCGCCCTGCCCATTCGACGATGACCAGCTGGAGCGCCGTTACGGCGGCAAAACCAGCACGTGGAGCCCCCAGCCGGTACGACCAACGAGCCATCGTGGCTCGACGAGCGGCCGCGAGCCACTCGCGTTTTTCTTCGGGCGGGAGCCGACTGCCGCTAACTGCCCGGAACTCAATCGTCCGCGATATACTTCGGCGAGCACTTCCGCCTTCAAATCCCATGGGGAGTTTCGGTCAACACGCACGCTGCCCCTGTCGACATGGTGCGGTAACAGCGCATAGCTCTAACCACTCATAACTCATAATAACCTCTGCGAGCGCAAAAGCGCGCTCTATTTTGGAAACTCAGAGCCGCCGCCTTCACCGGTGCACGGTACAGTGCCATGGACCAGACAAAACTCGTATACAGCCGTCTCGTCGCGACGCTGGGTCCACTCAGGTTAGGAAAAAGTCGCCCAAGGGCAGACACGCAGCACCGACCAGCTTTGGAGTAAGCTGGACGGCGAAAAGCCACCTCCCGGCGAGGATCAAGTCCAGATATATTCATCTGGGCCTGAACTGGTACGAGGACCGAGTTGACAATGATTGAGGCGCCTCCGTCTTATACAGGGCCACCCGTAAGCCCAGCGCCTCAGTGCGCCCGATCACCTGGTAGCCAGGCGCGCCGCCTCTTAAAAGTTCGCCACAATTTCACAATTTGACATGGTCACCCTAAATAGCGAATTCATTAGGAATATTTAAAAGTAATTTATTTTTCATATACCGAATATATACAACGTTCATCTGTACATATTTATTTGGTAGACATTTATACTAAATGTTAGTGTCTCTGGTTTTTGTTTCTGTTGTGATCTCAGGTAGGTACAGTCGATTATTTATTTATTGTGCAGAACGTCAGAATTGAGGAACCAAATAAAATGCGTTTATTTACTAAATCCACTCGGTTTTACTACTTTCTCTTGATGCTACAAATTGAAACACATGTCGACTGCTAAATGTTTTTGGAGTAGAATATAAATTTTGACCTATTACTTTCTCTCACGCTTTTGAATATAGATCGTTCAGCCACATTAAGAGTTTTGTATATTCTTGAATATCGGCAGTACTGGATTCAGATTTTTAGTAAGCACTATACACAATTACTACTAAATGATACAAAATATTCATTGAATACTTTCTATGTTTCAGGAGGCTCCTCAATTCATATGTTTAGATTGAGGAGCCACTTTTATATTGATGTAACATTGGATAAATCTTTCTAATCTACAAATTTCAGAAATTGTCCTACAAAATTATTTGGTCACCTACTAAATTAGGGGGAAGTTTCAGTTTCAAATCTGAAATGGCGTATTTATTTGAACTATCACAGTGCAGTACTTGTGCAAAAACTTATACAATACAATGACTGTACATTAATGCAAAGACATTACGTAAATCAGAAGATACAATATCATAACGTTTGTTTTTGTAGACGTTTTACTTTTATGTCAATTTTAGTTTTCAGACATTTCACTAGAAGGTCATTTTACTTTCATGTCCTCGATACCTAAATGGCAGTATGCTAACATATCCTTCTGATACAGACCCAGATATTTTACCCATCTATCCCTATCGGTTTACCCCAGCAAAATAATGTCGAAACTAATCCTCTAAATGTTATAGATAATTAGTTGCCCAGCTTCTGTAATTGTTGCGCACCACCTCTAGAACTGGAAAAAAATAATTGATGTGACTCTAATTTTATGTTAATGTTTTTTTCAACATCTTAATCTAACTAGGAAGTCAAAAATTTCTCGCTATAAAAATTTCGTCAATAAATATCTAGCTATAGATACTCTTACCTACTGGTAGGGATAGTTAAAAAGAAAATTCAATTATCCCCACTAGTATTTACATATCGGTAATGAAATATGGTTATTCAAAAATTAACTAATATTTTTCCTGATCGACGTGTCACTTGCTTTGTTTTCTTTAAGTATTATAATCGATTACGTAACCAGCGGCGAGATCATTGGATTAGAGCTGTCAGCACCTAATGCAGTCCTTAACTTTCGACAATGTTTGGGAGCCACAGAACCTTCAGAAGCAGCACCGGGCACCATTAGGAGATTGTACGGAGAAAACATTCTCAGAAACGTTGCTCATGGTTGTAACACAGTTGAAGAGTCTGCTGAGGTTTGATTAAGATGTCATTTTGTGCACGGACCTTTTACCAGTTAGTTTCGTTTATTCACATTTATTTCCGGATTACAGATATTGGAACTATTCTTCGGGTATGAAAAAGGATTACCTCGTATACCATTTCGAGCCACCTTTAAAGATTGTACTTGTTGCATCATTAAACCGCATGTCGTAATAGACGGCAACGTCGGAGCTATACACGAGCAAATTTCTACTTCAGGACTCTTTTACATTTCAGCAATGGCAATGTTCACTGTGAAACTATGCAATGCCCTAGAATTTTATGAAGTGTACAAAGGTGTACTTCCTGAATATGAGGTTAAGTACTTGAAATAATATGTATATACAGGGTTACTGGGTAAGTCGACCTAGATACTTTAAGAAGTTGTAGTTTCCATTATTTCTGACAGATTTCACTATGAAATACCATATCCCAAACCTAACCAATTTCAAAATATTGGACTTTTATGCTTACTTCTTTTAATAATATTCTTTATTTTATGTGCTTTTACTGTTTTTGTGTGGCTCATAAATTGTTTTATAATTTCAAATACTAAAATTGTAGTTAACTTAACCAAATGTAAATGTAGATAGTTAATAATAACAAAAATAAATAAATTTGTAAAAAAACAACTTTGACGAATAATAAAAAATTGAAATCTTTAAACTGTAGCATTAGTTAAAATGCAGATTTATTAAAAATCATGTACGTATTCTCAGCTATCTAACAAGGTATAGTATCAGAATTCATAGAAAAAACTTAGATGAAAGACCGGGAGTGTTAAGAATTAGCGTACAACCCGGCAGTACCTAGTTGAAAACTTGACTTGTATTTTTGGACTGTTTTATTTTCTATTCGTGACTAACTATTGCTAAGTGGACTTTGATTTGTTGTGCATCTGCTACTGTTGGCGATAATGACCTATACGAACGTGGAATATGTTCATATTTTGATTTCTTACAGATAATGCCAATGCGTATCCGCACGGGCTCGTAGATGAATAAATAGCACGCTATCCCGGCTATTGTGTTGGACGTAGCCTATCGTCAAATCAAAGTGACCGACCGACCTTAGATTAGATCCAACAACTTCAAGCAATATTGTTGCCCTAGACTATCACAGTGGAAAGCGTGCTGTGAATATTATTATACGGGCTTATACCCATATCACTATACGCCACTGGTAGAAGCACTGGTACAAGTTATTGAAGAAGGAGATACTTTGAAAAGGTTGGATTTTAGCAGATTTATGCTTAATGCAGATTTAGAAGACCCGTTATTTTATTTCTGAGACAGTCAATGGACTTGAGTCCAAATTTGATAAAAACGTTATAACCAATTACTTCAGCGCTAATTATTGGGCGCCAAAAGTACTGATAAATCCTAATATAACGCGAATAAAAGCGTTATAAAGACGCTTCAATTTGAATGTGTGGATCAAAAATATTGTCAAACCACTGGATTGGATCATTTTAGGGACTAATGTGGCTTTTAGGGAAGAAAATTTAAATAACCTACTACTACTAACTAAACCTATTAAATCATCAGATTTACCACTTAATCCCATTCGTGGCATTCCAAGATTGCAGCAATTCTAGCGACTCCCATGCTCCGCAGTCACTGGCTGTAGACGCACAATACCAACTGCCGCACTAAAGGTGCCCTTGGTCTGCTCCCACTGGACTTGTTCATTCACGTGGGAATGACGCTGCAGATGAGCTGGCAAGGAAGGACTCGGCAAGCCCGGCCATATCATACTCCTGACACTGCCTTCCTTCGAACCAACTTCGATCCTGGGTTAGACAGCTTATTCGTGAAGCGCACTACCGATGGTGAAAAAACTGACCCAGCTGCAGACAGACCAAATTGGTGCTGACTGAAGTCTCACCACGACTTACTTGCAGACTGATCAGTCTTAGCAGACCAGATATCTAAATTGTTGTAGGAAATATAACAGGACACCTAGCCCTGAACCGACAACTATTCACCATTAACGCGACGGACAGTCCTCTTTGCAGAGGATGCCTGAAAGCAGAAGAAACGGCCGCCCACGTAATCTTGGAATGCAGAGGAGTGGTCACACAACGGGTAAGTACCATACCTGGTACAAAATCGCTCCTAGAAGCCTCAAAACGTCCCAGGAGGCTTCTACGCTTCTGGAAGGAGCTTAGTCGGCTCACCTAGCCAACCTCTCCCAGATACATAAAGGATCACTCTCGAGTCTAAATGCGGCAATCGGACCCTACAACCAATACCATTTGCAGCATGTGGTTTCAGCATTATAATTGCCCTGTGCATTACAGGAGAAATGTAAAAGAATGGCTGGATTCTAATTATCGTAATAAGTGGATTCGAAGAGGTGGTTGGGTGGCTCGTGCGGATACACTTTGGCAGTATCCGTAACAAATCAGAATATCAACATATCCCAAATAAACAGTATCAGAAGTACAAATCAAAGTTCACTTAACAATAGTTAGTCACGAATAGAAATCTAAACAGTCCAAAAATACAAGCCAAGTTTTCAACTAGGTACTACTAGGTTGTATGCTAATTCTTAATACTCCCGGTCTTTCATGTAACTTTTTTCGATAAATTCTGATACTATTCTAGACTATTAAACCTTGTTTATTAACTATCTACTTCGGCCCAGTTTCTTAACTACAATTTCAGTAATTAAAATATAAAACAAGTTAAAAAAGCATAAAATAAAAGATATACGAGTAGGTTCTAAAAAAAATGTAGTAGGTAAAATTTCGGAATTTTTTATTAAAAATATTAAAAGTCCAATATCTTAAAAATAGTTATTTTTAGGATATGGTATATTTCAGTGAAGTCTATCAGAAATAATGGCAACTACAACCTCTTAAAGTATCTAGGTCGACTTACCCAATAACCTTGTATAATACGGCCGGCGTATCTTGGCGAACGTGAACATAGGCTCTGCGAACTTTGGCGCATGTACACTCGTGAAGAAAACTGTTATTGTCTTTTTTTATACCCTAATGAATTTCCCTAATACAGTGACCAATTAGTACAAATTAAATAAATATCAAAAAACTTTGGAGACACAAAAGCTACAAAAATAACTTTCGATATAGATTCAATTTCGATACCTCACCTTTCGACAGTGGCAGATTTTATCACAAACACACAAAATATGATTTACATTTAATATTTTTATATATTTACACTTATTATTATTTTATCACTGTTACTGAGGGGGGAAATCCCTGACATCGGCCTGGATCGTCGGCCCCTTGGGTACCATGTAAGGTACTTGGCATAGGTTCATTATCGTAATCGTCGTTCTCACTTTCAAACTCACTTTCCGAATCTGAAGCTGTATTAATGATGAATAATTGTTCCGTCATTTCGTCAATAATATGGTCGCTCTTTCTATATTCATCTTCAACCTCTTTCACTTTTCTGCATAAAGCACTCCATTCTTCCTGACCCATTAAATTTACTTTTTCCCGTATAAGCTCCATTGTCCGGGTTACGTTCCAGTCGACGTTTTTAGCGGCTACGTGCCCTTTAATGGCAGCCCACACCATCTCGATAGGCTTCAAATCGGGATGATACGGGGGTAAACGAAGGACATCGTGGTTGTTTTTTTTAAACATTTCGTCTATTACGTATCTTTTATGCACGTCTTTGTTTTTTTTTTTTATTAGATCGTAAAGTTGTGCCTTACGCATGTCCTTTTTATAGGGTATACCCTTTTCTACTAACCACGATTCCATATTTGCCTTCTTGTCATTAGATGTAGGGGCAGGATTCATTAATTTGTTGTGGTATGCAGCATTATCGATAACCACCACCGAGTTAAGGCTCAAATTTGGAATCAGTTGGGTCCGTAACCATTTCTCATAATTTGTGAAATTCATGTCATCATGATAGTCTCCGGTTTTGATTCCAGATTTGAACATTAGTAGGGCGTTCGGAATAAACCCTGCTTCTGACCCAGCGTGTACCATCACTATCCGCTGACCTTTTGATATCGGGCGCTTTAGTCCTTGAGCGGAACCATCCGACCTCGCCTTACCTTTTGTATGTGATGAGTGGGCATACGACTCGTCAGTGAATACAATTGGTCGCCCTTCATCCCTGTATTTTTTCATTGCCTTCAAGTACAAGATCCTTTTCAGGCGAATTTCGGTCTTCTCTATAAGAACCATTGTGTTGTTGTTTGATCGATATCTATTCAAATCGACTGAAATTAAGTCATGATAAAATATATTTTTTTCAATTTTATAAGGAAGTTTTAAAATTTCTTAAACAATCGTTACTCAAGTAGACGTTAATAGATAACTGATATTTAAGTAAATCATGTCTTTCAACTGAGAAAATAAAATTATATTCGTTTTTTTTTTTTTTTAAATAAAAAATTCACTAATATTTGTAAATTTATTTCGTTTAATATCTTATACAAACAAAAATCAATAACTTCTAAATAAAACTAAGCGATTACGATATTTGATTGAATAAAGGGTCGATTGTGTTTACTGATGGTCAATCTCTAGCCTAGACTACCGCCCTCCGTACCTCGCCTCATGCCACCATATTCACAGATTAGGAGATACAAAAAAAAAGGCACATAATAATGAATCCAATAGTACTGAAAAACTGCCCGAAACAGTAATATAAATTTTTTTAAAGTCCTTCCGTGCGTGTAGCATCAGCTGATTTCTGTCTGATTCTGTCGCGCATGCGCAATGCGCAAATAATTGGCTTGGCAATGCCACCACGGTTTTTTACTGTTTACAATATTAATTATTGAATATTTTTAAGAATTAGCACGCGGGCAAATTAAATTAGCGCAAGGGCAATTTTTTCACGCTTGGTAGAGTAAAAAATAATCATTTTTCAAAGAGATATGGCTATTTTAAGTAAGTAAGTAAGTAGAGGAAAATTGAAAATTATATTTCTATTTTTCCTGGGAAAACGAAAAACGGGCTTATAAATTAATTAACGTAGGTCGAAAGGGCTAATTGAGATCTATAAAATGAGATTTTTATTATTTTGAAATTTTAATATCTGCAGGCTGGAACGGACCCGGTTAAAAAAAGTCATTGCGTAGCCTGGTTCCCGAAGTTCAGACTCGCCAAGATACGCCGGCCGTATTATATAAAGGATGCTATACCTACCTATATGACCTTAACTTTTGACAGCTGATTGCATAAGACGTTTAATTTTCCGGCAATGCAATGCAAATGATTTTCGACTCAGAATTATGGGTCTGAATACACTACTTCAGTATTCGTGACGATGTCCCTTACAACCTGTAATATATATGTATAATGATTAGTTTGTGCGTATAGATGTGTAGGGTCGTGTCACTGACAGTGGTTTGGCCACCATCATGGATTTTAATTTTGATAACACAAAAATTTAGTCGCTTATTATTCGAAATGTGTCACCTGTCGGTATAATTGTTTATAGTTGGCCGACCTGGGGTCAGTACAGCCGCTAGCTGTTTGAACGCCCGCGTGCAATGCCGATTAAGCTACCCTTTTTTTCCGTGTGGATCCTCCCTTCGAATACCTACCCTACCTACTATCTACCTCCCTACCTACTACTACCACCACCGTTGGGGTCGTTATGTCGAACTCGAACTGACTAAAACCGCACGAAGTCTTGTTTACTAGTAGCCGAGGAAACAGGTGCAACCTTTTTTGTCTGTGCGGAAATCCCTTCGAATACCACCCACCGGACAACCGATGGGGTGATTATGTCGGGCTCAATGTATACCCTAGAAAGGAAATCCCTGATACCCATGGGCGTACCCACAGTGGGGCAAAATGGGCCCTGCCCCACCCTGACTTACACCCATTTTTTTCATTACGAAAAGTTTAAAACATTTCATGAAGTACAAGTTTCATTATAACACCGAAATTTCGTTTTGGTAGAATATGAAGACAATGTCAATAATTTTTCTGTTCTATGTGAAAAAAATAGAGCTAAAATTGAACAAGCAAAGGAGAAATTTCGTGACGCAATATTGAATTGTAGCCCTCTCCATTCATTAGATTTTTTACTATACACGCTGACTGCTAGTCTGGTGGTCGGGTGCATGGACGGTGGCGCTGGATAAGGCGTAGACTCTCTTGTTCCATGGGCCCTGTCGTGATCCACCCGCGGCGCCTCCATCGTAGTCAATTCGGTCCTCGTACTCAGATGAAGTACCTGTGCCTGATCCTTGACGGGATGTGGCTCTTCGACGAGCACTTAGGACAGCTTGCTCCTAAGCTGGTCGGAGCTACGTCTGCACTTGGGCGACATTTGCCTAATTTTGGTGGACGTAGCGTCGCGACAACACGGCTTTACACGAGGGTTGTCCAGTCAATTGTACTATACTGTGTCGGTGTGGGCGGTAGCTCTAACCGCCTAGCGGCAGTGAGGCCGCTCGTTGAGCCACTATGGCTCGTTGGTCGTCCCGGCTGGAGGCGTAGTACTTTTTGTTATATTTTGTTTCTTTCCAGTGCTTAGTCCAATAAATGAAATAGTCTCTATTAGTAATCAGTAGATATAGGCATAGTAAACCCACAATCTCTTGAGCAGGCTATGGCTATACAACTGGCAGAAGGCAAATGTATAGCATTGGAAGTTAAATGCACAGATCCCACTAAGAACGTAGTGTGCGAGTTCAGAAAATTGTGTGGTCCTAGAGATCCGGTAAGTTATATCCACGTCATTTTCATTTCATTTTCATCACGTTTTTTCATTGCATCCTCTTCTTCAGAGATTCTTTTAAGTCATTTTGCCAAGTAATTTTCCGCAACTTCTTTATCTTACTTCATTAAGTTAAAAAACCATATGGAAGTGCGCCAGTAATCTCACTCCTAATCATAACCTCAAGTACAGTCAAGAAAATCAATGGTCTCAATCGATAGCAATTGTGTAAATAACCATTGTGTTAGTACTGATTGGAAAAGATATACATAATCCTCCTATAATTCAGCAACTAGGTTTGTTTTGGGCACTAGTGTCACTCTCATTTACATATGAACTCCCAGTCATCATTTCTATTTTTGCTATAGTGATTTAGGAACTAAAATACTGGTAATATGTGACTCATTTCTAGTGTTTTAAATAATAAATAAACCCGAACTATGTATAAAAAAGCAACTACCTTTTAAAATACTTTGTCTCTGGCGCATTAATGATTTCAAATTAGAAAACAGTTTATGACATGTATATTTTATTTATGATACTGTAACAATGTTTAGCAAATATTATAAGATCCCAGAAATCACATTAATCATTTAAAATTAAGTGTACTCAATTGCTGCAACAGAATTTTTAATTGTCTACATAACTTTTTTTATTATTACAAATATACATCAAAATGAAAAATACATCTAAGTCTTATGTGTGAGTAGTGGTGCAAGTATCCATATACATAATGATATTTAAAACTAAGATAGATAAAGACAGACTTTGATGAATTCATTAAGGTCTACAATGGGAACATAGTATGAATATTTTATTCCCTGCAGTTATGAGGAGCAGGGATTTAAGTTTTTATTTGTGAACATACAATTACTAAAATTTCATGTGCATTTACAGGATTTATGTCGCCAATTATATCCAGAATCAATTAGAGCTCAATATGGAAAAAATATTGTTCAAAATGCTGTACACTGCACAGACCTTCCTGAAGATGGTGAAAGTGAAGTGGAATACTTCTTTAAATTTTTAGCTAATGAATAATGTTTTCCTTATTATTTATGTTTATAGTCATTTCTAATTACAAAGTCGTTTCCTTCTACTTCAATTTTATCATACATCCATTTTCTGTTTGCTCTGAAATAAATGAAAAGATTTTGTATTTCCATTCTTGTCTCAGTTAAAGATTAAACAGATTTCAAAATAATTCTTATATCATAACATACATACCTGCATTCATGCCCACATTTGTTGGATGAACACTTTGGGCATGGAAAATGGCATCCTGGGCATTTTTCATCCAAACAGTCACACAAATCTTTACCAGTTACTGCGATGTGGCCTAATTCATTGTAAATACTTTTGCTCTTACGGCTGTAAATAAGTTGTAATTTCAGAATTTACAAGCTTGTAATAATGGGTCAATCTAAAGAGTAACACCTAATGGATCTAAAGACTGACTTCATAAAATAGCTTTTTCGATTCAGCTTACGCCTTTCACGCGCCGAGGTTTCCGGGTCGAAATTGTTTAAAAAATGCATTGTTATGGTGGTGATGTCGACCGCTTGTTTACAACAAGTAGACACGAGAGACAGTATCAAGATCTCTTTTACCTTGGTAACCATACAAACAAAACAAGAATAGATACTATGTGATTTATTTACAATTATTACAACCAAGACCAGTGTTGCCAACAGTTAGAACTCTCCACCAGATTCAAAATCTAAAACCACCAGAAAACCACCAACGAAAAACGGTCAACTCCAATAGTCGCTAAATTTTCCACTAAACAGAAACATAATTTTAGTTACTACAAAAAAAATAGTACAATGCATACACTTCTTATTGTTTATTACGTATGTATAATAATAAGTTTCCTTTTAATTACGTAATCCTAATGCTAACATTCAATAAATCAACATAAAAATAGTAAATCAACAAATCAAATTAAAATCAGGAACATAATTTATTTTTATTTAATAACAATAGTAACTAATTTTAAATTAGTTCGTCTTCTTCAGATGAATCATTTTTCTCTGCACCATCATCGTCAGTTTCAGACTGATACCATTCTTTGATATCCATTTGTTTTACAACGGTTATTGCAATTTCATGTTCGTTATAGCATTTTCCTCCTAACCTCAAACCACAGCTTCTAAGCAGTAACACTTCTCACATAGCAGAGAAAAGATTTAACTTCCGACTCAATATTGTCAATTCGCTTTTTCTCCGGTGCCTTCTGGGGTTGATAGAATTCCGTAGGATGATAGTTACCATCCTGATTTTTTTGGTAATTATAGCCTACATTATTGGGATCTCTCTTAACTTCGCAACCTTAGCTCTCTCTGGTATAAAGCCTACATCATCCCATTGTCAAAAATTAATAATCCTTCTCTTCCTGAGCACTTCCATCCAATCTCCATTGTTCCTTTCTTATCAAAAAATCTTGAGGTTTGCGTTTTCAACAGTTCCCATATCATGTAACATTCATCTTACAACATTATATCCCAAGTTCTCAACAATCTTACCACTATAACTAAAAACTAAAAAATACAAAATAAATTTTCTATAGAAAGCGTGTTTTTTAGTTTTTAAAACTATTTTTTTTTAATTAGTGTAATAATATAATTGTACAAGTAAGTGTAAGTAATTGTACAAAGTTTGAACGAATTCTGACCGTTTAAAGTCAGTCAAAATCCACTAGCCACTAAAAGCAGTATTTCGCCACTGTCGGGGAAGGGTTGAAACTAGACATGAGACAAAATCACAGTGAACTGTGATTTTTCATTACATTTTTGCGTGTGTAGGTTAGGGTTGCTAGATAGGTAAGTTATAGTTAAACCGCCGTAAGCTTGGCCCTCCTGATAGTTTGGGGGAGGCGGGGCGGGGATGCATTCAACCACTTAGCTAGTGCGTCGCTGTCCGCTAGTCTTGTGCTTAATCGGACATCTGCAGGTTCGCACCGTACTAGTACAATTCGTACAACGTACTAGCACACCGTAATAGTACTATTAGTACGTTTTAGTAGAAGTAGAAAACTTAAGCGTTTGTATTGATATTACCAACATTAATGAAACAGAATACTAATAATTGAATAAATTAAAATATGTAATTAAAAAAAAGTGTAATAGTTTTTTTTTTAAATATAGATGGCTTTGTATTAGGCAGTTACTTTTCTTCAGTATAGAAATAATTACACAGTTCTTGATTATTTTTAATGTGTTATCCCTTTCTGAATCCCATAAACCCTAACAGTTTGACTTTTAAATACGATTTTTTAGATTACTTTACACTCAATTTTTAAGCATACTATTTGATTTTCCTTCATACTTTACAACCCAACGTATTGTACTCATAGTACAGCCAGTATCGCTGTCCCTTTTACTCTCACACTGTTTACCAATACGGAACAATAAAGCGGAGCATTAATAGTACGTCGCACAGCGAACGAACGTAGACACTAGTAGACAAAGTAAACAATAGATAGTTTTAGTACTGGCTTGAAGTTGACACTGTGTACTAATAGTGCAAAATGTCCGATTAACAGCTGCCTTTCGGAAACATTACTTTTAGTACAACACCCAGTACTAGTACCTATCAGTACATCGTACGTGTACTACCCAAGACTACTGTCCGCCGGCAGTGACTGACGTGAAAGCATGGCTGTACGTGTTATTTTTCTTAAGACTGCTACACACGGTATTATTTTGCAACATGGATAATCTGCCGACTCTGCGTCACAAAAAGATTTAAAAACTTGAATTTCGCAAAAGATGGCGCCCCTTGGATGATTCGTCCCAGTGTTTATTATGTACATGTGACAATAATTCACCTGACGGAATCAGTGTGTGAATTCCTAGTAGGCTTGGGCTCGTATGTATGTCCTTGTATTAACCTACTTGAAGTGTGAAAATCTTTCAAATCTTTACAATACAGTGTCTCTTGAGATCAAGATCTTTACAATACTTTACAGAGGTTCTATTGTTAAAGTTCTAATAAAGAATATTTATTATTTTACTGAAATTTTAAAATTGTATCTGAATATAATTTACATGATGAAGATAAGGTTTTACAATTAATCATAAAAACTTACAATACACTGACATTATAATACATGGAAATAAATTCATGGTTTAAGAATCTTTATTTCTCAAAAGAATTTACAAAATTCACTTACTGAGAAAACATACATAAAAGTAAACAAAATAAATCCATTGAGCGTTTGAATATAATATAAAATAAAAGTGGGTAGTCAAATATATTTTGCGTAAGATTACGAACACTCGAACTCGAATTTGCAAAACACTCGAACACAGACAACAATGGGAATCCAAGCAACTGAACCAAAGATGTAACTTGAAATTATTAACTAGATGTGGCATCCAGATGGTAAGTACACTCTTCTATTTTTATTACTGAATTCTTTTTTTTTTTTTTTTTTTGATACTTGACTGAGACTTGAGATTTTGTTTTATTTTTTATTTTTTTAGTTTTTTTGATTTATTTATTAAGATTTATATTTGTAAATATAAAAACATACACATATGCATAGACGTACATATACACATACATATACATACACACACACACACATGCATGCACATACCCTGCATGCACTTACACACACACACATACGCACACACACGAATATTATGTGCATATAGAATTGTTTTTATCCTTATTAGTTTATTTGATTGTGAATGTTTTAGTACAATAATAATGTATTAACTAATAAGTAGCTGCTATGTGTTTCTTCAATGTTTTTTTAAATGTAGTCAATGTAGTAGCATGTTTTATATTTAATGGTAATTTATTGTATATCTTTACTCCTTCAAATTCAATATTCTTCTTTCCATAGTTCGTTCTGGGTGGTCGAGTTACAAGATGGGTAGCGTTTCTTAGTTTCATTTTTTGCCGAGCACTATTTGTTGTAAAAGATAAACTAGTATGAATATTTCTGTTTAATATTTTACGTACCAATATACACGTGTAGTATATATAAGTTTGCTTTATGGTCATTATTTTGGTGTCCTCGTATATTTTTTTTAGTGGGAGTACGGAAGTTGTATCTAAAAAGAACTTTTATTAATTTATTTTGTTTTCGTTGTAAGTCATCTAATATAGTTTTACCCGCGGTTCCCCATATTTCCACTAAATAATCAATGTGTGGTTTGACTAGAGAGTTATAAATAAGGTATCGGACTTTGTGAGGAATACATTTAGTTATACTGAATAGGCAACCCGTCAGTGAAATAAGTTTATTTTTAATTTTATCTATTTGGGGTTTCCAGCTCAGGCGAGTGTCCAGAATGAGGCCAAGATATCTTTCATATGTCTTTCTCTTGATTGGTTCGTTATTTATGATCAGTGGTATATTATCAATTATTTTTTTGTTTTTGGCTGCAAAAATGACATAGTTTGTTTTTTTGGTATTTATAGTTAGTAAATTATGTTGGAACCAATCATTTAACATGTTTATTCGATTCCAATTCGATTTTTATTACATCGTGTGTAGATTAAATCTCAAACAAATAAATCTGAAGATATCGAGTTAGTACATCGTGTCCTGTATAGCCTAGCGCATCACCCGTCCCGCGTCCCGCAAACCATCAGGAGGGCCAAGCTTACGGCGGTTTAACTATAGACGCTATTTAACAGTAAATCTAGTATAGTAGTAGTATAGTTTTTAATTATTAAGTAGGGAATGGTAGCGATTTATATAGTAAAATAATTACGAGATTTACTGTTGAATAGGCGAAAAAGGGTCTTTATGCATCGTCTGAAAACAGCTTATTGTCAACAACGCGTGAGTAAGTAGTAACCCTAACCTACGTAGGAAAAAAAGCGAATGAAAAATCACCGGTCTTTCACAGTTCAATGTGATTTTGGCCCCATGCCTAGTCGAAACCACCAGTTTTAGTGGACAATATACAAAACTCACTTTAACCAATAGTGACCAAGATTGAAATGACGGAATGCTGTTACTGAATGTTTTTTTTTTATATTCTTGACACTTGAGTTTTGACTAGTGATGTGCTAAATCTATCACTGAGCTGAAAAGATACATATAATTTCACTCTAAAGGTATTTATCACTCATTTAGCTCACTAGCCATTGCGAAAATTTAAAAACTACTCAAATTTAGACAATCCCCATTGATTGGTCTCTTACCTGATTCATTTATTCGGCTAGATCGTTTAGCTTAGTAAATTTATATCACTCACTTAAAACCTCTCTCGCTTATATAAAGCTTTCATTATTTCTCATATTAACCCGAATTTAATTCTTGGCAATTCACTTTCAAGCTTTTTTTCAAGGTTGTTTATTAGAAATGATACATATTAAATGAATTTTATTGGCAATTTATGTGGTAATAAATCTAACACAAATTTATTCTTATATAATATAAAAGTAATAATTAAATTTGAATCTAAAGAAATAATGTACATTTTCTTAGAAACTAAATTAGCGTGAATGAACTTACCCGTTATCTATCTCACTCATTTATCTACAGTCTCACTCGCTAATGAAACAAAGATCG